ACTCCAGATATTTACTATGATATTGAAAAAAAACAGAGCGCAAAAAAAGTGATAAAATGAAGGAGATATCGTCGTTTGAAAATGTGCCTTCTCCAAGAGCTCTACGGTACAGGTCAAACCGGTCCGGGTACGCCGTATTAATGAAATAGACGTGTTTTTGCACGCCTGCCGTTAGGCTGTTAAGGGACGATTTCTTCCAGCTAAAAATGCGATTTGCTCGTTTTACAAATGTTCACGTTTTAAAGACATACATGTATAGTATATTATTTACAAGCCCAAACACGGTCCCTTTTTCATTTAAGATCCGCAATAATTTTGATATCTCATGTTTTCCAACTCAACACTGTTTTTGTTGTTAATGGAAACAGCGAACAGCCTTTTCTTTTTGTTCGAAAGACGGAGGAGGAGGAGGCAATCATTAAAGCGAAAGCAGCAACCACTCTACTTCAAATATTAATAGATAGTCTATATGTCAAATGTCGAACAATGGGGCACGTATCATCGATCCTAATGCACACAAATAGTAATGTCGTACATGATTTATTGAAAACCTGTCGGAAGGCAACGAGACAATTTTCGTAAAATATATCCCGCACGTAATTTGTCAATTCAAAGCGAGAACCACTACTAGTCTAGGCGTGATGGGGAAATTTGATTAAGAGGAACTTGTCTTGATTGCCGAAATTTGGAGAGAAATGGCAGTGGGCAAATAGTACGAATTTTAAAAGTGGACTTCGTCTACGGATTGGTATATTTGTGTAATTATTTAATCGATCTAAATTAATAATCGAATTACGAAGCGTGTTAAAAGACCCTTCTTGGCGAATGATACTATTTTGGCAAATAAGTTGTTGTACACACATGTCCTCAATATTTGAAATAGGCAAAACAAATTGGGTCGCTTGCATATAAGGGAGAGTGAATTTTGCTAATGAATTTCAAAAACCGCTGGGCACGCTCGAAGTTAGTAAGAATTTGATGAGGATGAAGTGAGAATATTAGTGAACATCGCAACATCTGGATCAGGAACCAACATCGCAATCTTCTTATACGTTGTTTCTTAAGAAGTCGTAATGACATTTTTTCACTTTAACGTTGCACGTCACAATAATGATCAATCACAATTAAGATCGACTGGAGTTGGTTGATTTGGAAGGAATTCAATTATCTTACAATTCGACTGTGTTTGCACCTCATCCCTTACGTTTTCGTAGCGTAAGCATAAAGGATCATTTTGTTCTGCGAATAAAACGTTGAATTATACAATTTACAAGAGAACAATCTGCATCCATTGCTAGATAGAAATATCATGCTACGAATCCTCGTCCATATGCGAAACAGAATCTGATGGTAACTAGAAACAGAAGTGGACATTATTTTCGATACACCATGGAAAATTACACGATGGCTTTATTGGACATTAATGAACCTCTGGCACAAGGATATTACAAGGTGAATAACTTACTTTCCGTTATTTGGTCGTTGATATCAGTTATTGGTATATCAGGAAATGTTATCAACCTTTTGATTCTCCCACAAGTTCAGGCTGATGGAGGGACAAAAGTTTTCCTGACTGCTCTTTCGCTGACAGACCTGTTGACCGCCATTTGCTTGATCACGTCAGTCATTGTGTCTAGGATAGGATGGGCAGATAGCGCTACTTGGGATGTTTTCTGCAAAGCATGCTTTTTTTTAGGAAGCTGGGCTTCAGTGACAAGTGCAAATTTCATATTTGTTGTGAATCTCGATCGCTTTTTGTATGTGGTGCGACCTTACAAATACCACGAAATTATCACCAAGAAGAGAGCTTTAGTGAGTTCACTGATAGCTTCTACCGCAATCTTAGTCGTTGGGTTACTCTTTGTCAGTCTGTCAGAGGAATCATTTGACAAATTTGCCTTTCATAGCAAGAATGTTATATATATCCTTGATGTTCGTGTAAAAGTATATGTAATAATTTCCATCGGCATATGGCCACTTGAGGTTCTTGTCCTTGCAATGTACACCCGTATATATTGCATCGTGCGGAAACACGCGACCAAAATTTCAGCACAAGTGAATGCCGCGCTGCGGCTAGAAACTCTCAGCGCGACAATTGACACATCCAATTCGTCTGGACCTGTCCGAGACCGCCCGAAGACATCCAAGGTTGATCCGACAGAATTTCTCGCCAACTCATCAGACATCGACGCATGGGCTGGGGATCAGCTTAAAAGGAAAGAAATAAATCAGCATGGTAAATTCGGGAAGATTAAAAAACAAAAGAAACTTCTGCATCGTAATTTCAGGAACCTCCGCACCACATTCTTGGTTACTGGTTGCTATTTGGTGTTCTGGATGCCATTTACCATCTTAGTTGCAATCGCGGTGTTTTCAGGGAAACTCCCACATGACTTCAACCTCTTGGTAACTTACACAATGGGGAAGGTAAACTGTTGCGTTAACTGTTTCGTGTACATGTTCTCGCGGTCAGATTTTAAGTTAGCCCTTCGACATTTGTTTCGATGCAGGTAAATTATTGACACTTCGATCAGTAATTGAATGTTGATGTAGTCCATCCCATCAAACGGAACGACTTGCATAACAAGTTGCAGACACAATTTGTCTTTCAATCAATCAGAATCGCGTACTTTGGATTTGTCTTCAATTGCTGTATTTATGCCGGTAGTAGACGAGGCGTCAACATCGTTAGTGGTTGGCGCGGTCTTAAAAGCCCTGTAAGGCCTCGTTCAGAACGGCGTTTTTTGTAATGATGACGTAAAGTTTTATGCGTGTCACGTGTCTGTATCTTATAACATAGAGCTTAGTAAAAACGCGCAGAATTTTTGTTGCGCGCAGTCGCCATTCATTAAAACGTTGAGAAAAAACGTGGCGGTTTAGTGCTTCATATCTGAACGAACCTTAAAGCCCCTCAAAAATATTGGAAGCCCCAACAATTTGATGGCAAAATAACACTTAAATTGTATCATTATGTGAAAGAGGATGCCATAGAGTGTGTTAATATTTCCGTCTCAAAAAAGTAATTATTGTTTTCCGAAAAAATATTGTTGTATAGAGGACAACACATATATTCTCTAAGTCTTCAATCATCAAAGTAAAATGATATTATTCAAAGGCGAAAAACGCGATTACGATTCCTGTCTGCGAGTCCTCATGGATACAACTGAATATAATCTTTGCATTTTGTATTCTCCGTTGAACTCTTTTCCATTAATCTGTATCTCGCCTGAAAAAGGTAGCCCCAAAATGTTTATGGCAAAATTTGCGTTAAATTGTATAATCTTGTGAAAGAGGATGTCATTTAAGACACACTTGCAAGGATTTTCAAAACAGATGTGTTTGAAGTCGAATGTGGATGAAAGAATACAAAATTGAATTTTGTCTGCGTACAACAAAGAATCCCAAATTATGCCTTCAAACAAAATTTTATAACGGAAAAGCATGTCTTAAATGACATCCTCTTTCACATTATGATACAATCTAAGTGGAATTTTGCCATCAAACTTTTGATGAATTTGGGGGCTCCCATCACTTTAAGAGGGGCTTTAGGAGTGACATTAAAAGTAAAACGAATTTAAGCAGAGCAACATATTGCTTTGAATTTACTGGTGTATTCATTTGGGTATCATAAACATTCAGTGTTCTGTAATTCATTTTGTTCCTTCATCAATTTATTTGATAGCTTTGAAAAGTGTTCATAACATTCGTTGATCTGATTATTAATCTGTCTGCATATCATTATGTTCTCATTCAAGGTAAACATGACATACTGTCAAGGCATGACCTTCCAGATGATGTACTCTGAATATAACTCTTGAAAATTCTATAGTATGAAATATATAAAAAAAAATCTTTGAAATAATGATCGATTTAATTTCATTTTGTTATTTCCTTGTGCTTGCTGGATTAACCACATCACAGACCGGTTTATTGTTTCAAATGTTAAATGCTTGATGGAAGAAATGTGCTGAGAAACAGATGGAGCACGAGCGTAAGAGGGATAGAAAGTGCGGGAATAAAGAAGAGGAAAAAAGAGAGAAACAGAGAGCAAGATAATATGATATCAATCGAGCCTAGAGAGATATCGACACACAGAGAAAGAGAGAGAGGGGTGTATGTGACGGTAATGAGTTACCTTTGTCCTGAAAGAGTAAACTTACGGGACCTATTATCCTCTGGGTATTAGTCCGGGTAGTAATTACTAGGGGTAAGATTTCCAGGGGTATCAGGGGTAGACGTGTCTAAGGTGTGATGTGCAGAAGACACTGACCTTGAGTAGAGTTGTCCGGCCATAAATTGTCCTAGAGATTCATGTCTAGGAAGTAAATAGGCCTATCTTTCTTCAAATATTGTATTCTTGTCCGTCAGTGATAGATCGGGTTATTTGTCCAATATGATTTATGTATCTATTGCTCTGATCAACCTTTAAAACAGATAGATTTCGTATTTTTGTCCCACTTTACCGCTAATCCCATAAAGTATCTACGAATATTAACTTTGTTGATTAGATATACAACAGGGTTCACGCGAATGGACTTTAACCCCAATATTTATCTCATTTTGTTGTACACATTATAGGGCTTTACAGCCCAACCATTAACCCTGTAGTGAGATTACACAGTACAAAGTACATCAAGAGGCTAGTCTCATGGTATTTTTTTAAAAGAGGAATTACCACATCACGACTTAAACAAAATGGAAATACCTCATCCTAAAAGGAGTGATCGAGTGCTGATATTTTTAATTTATCATCATTTACGGGTCGTTCGAGTCAGCATTATAACCATTATTTAGTAGAATATACCAGTTAACCATTGTATTAACGTCTATCCTCGCAGATCCTTATATCAAATTATTTGGTGTACAATTATAGCATTGTCACATCAGTTTCGAATTTCCTATGCATGAAGTTCGAATATTTAATTATTAACATGTTCTTGAAATGTGATTTAGCTGCACCATTATCCGTGTGTGTAAATAGAGGTTGTGGAGGGTGTGCGTGTTCGTGTGAGCGCGTGTGTCTGTGTGTGTCAGCGTTCGTATATGCGAGTGTAAGGGAACGATCGATAATAACGTGCATTAAACTTGATTGTGCTATGTATATAAGCTCATTCGTTTCTGGTCATTTAACACACCGGTCATTTAACACACAGATCCTTTGCTCCGAGTTCATAGGAAAAAGAAGTAATCAAACGTTCATACATGAAGCTAATTATTGTGGGAATCCCCGTTTTGCAATATCCGATTGGCCTGCACGTATGAAATGTTGCACAATCGTACTAGAGAAGCTTTACCACAGCAGTAAGCCTACTTGTGTCGTTCAACATTTTCATTAAGTCACTTGGGGACACTCAGGTAAGTAACAGTTAAAAACCCATTTTTAAGACAGAAATAATTATCACTTAATGCCTTTCATTGGCCTAAAATTCGCCTACGGAACGTTCCCTGAATTTCGAATGAAATACAAAATAGGACTACTACTTTTATCATAATTATACCTGACCCACTGGCAAAAGAATTGACACATAGACCTACGCAAGGTTATATTGTTATTTTCATTAGTCATTGGGCATTGCACGGTTTAAACTGAGATTATTACATGGTTTGAGCTAAAATTATTACCATAGGCGCCATATAGTGCTGTGTCTATAGCAGCCACTACAAATAGGTAAATGTCAATAATGTCCAGACAGATGATCTAGTTCCTTTGACGCGTAGGCTGTTGTCTTTACATTTGTCATGAACACATGCTGATCGAATACAAAACAACTACGATCAATAAGTAATTATTGATTTAAATGTCCTTATGTCATTAAACACGGGAGAGAAATAATCCCTAAGTATTGGTAGCAGTTTCGGTGCGAATATACTACGTACTGAATTATAAATCACTTGCATAACCTAGAAATTATTTCGCTCAAGGACAAACCTGTCAGAAGAAAAAAGGCCAAATATGGCATAATCGAGAAGAAAAAAAAGGTTATGTTAGTACAGTCAAACACTTCTATGAGGGAAAAGTGGCCTCTGTAAACAGGTGACCTTTCTAGATATTTTCTTCAACACACATCTCTCTCTTCAGGGAATAATAACTGCATGACAACGATAGACATTTAGCCTTCATAGAAAGGTGGCAACTACGACAGTAAACCTTCGTATCTAACATTATTATTGTTCTCTCAAATGTATTTATTGAAGTTTTCTTTATTCATTTATCAATTTTTTATTTCTTTTACCCTTGGCAACGTATACACTGAGGTAAAACGATATTATCCACATACAAAAGATGAATAAATGTTTGTAAATTATGGCTGTGCCAACTTGGCTTCCTGGGTACTCCCCGACCTAACTTGCGCAATCAGAATAGGAAATGTTGATAAGTTCAAATGAAGTTCAATAACAAGTGTACGTGTGTGAGAGAGACAATGCGAGAGTGCGGAACTTCTCCGTTATCGACTCATCCTTTTCTAGATTCCGTTGTTTCTGTTAATGTTTCAGAGGGTCACTTCGAACTCCGGAAGTCAGTATGGCGGCAGCACCAACTCCAAAAATCAAAGGAACTTTCCAGAGTTGTCTGAAGCCTGGCCTAAATCGTCCACATGACGTCATTTGTCATCAAGGTCTATACATCGTCACTGACACCTTTTACAACCGGGTCATAGCAATGAACCCAGTCGACAATTCTACTGAAGTTCTTTGTGAGAAGAAGCAAGGGAAACTATCATCGAATATGAGGCCTTACGGGATCGTCGCTCTGTCGGACTCGAAGCAAGATTTTCTGATCACTGACGCAGTGAACCGGTGTATTCTACGGTACGCGGACGACTCCTGCACGGTTTGGAGTGAGGAGAAAATGCCACAGAAAGGATGTCCTGCAGGAATAACTGTTGACTCATCAGGTCAGGTCTTTGTCGCTGATTCTGCAAACCATTGTGTCAGGGTCTATGATGAAAATGGTAGACACTGTCGTTCTTTCGGTTCGGACCACCTCAAATCCCCCTGGTTCCTGGACTTTAACTCTGAAGGGCATGTCTTCGTGACCGACAACCCTGCAGGCATCAAGATCTTCACAAAAGACGGTCAGTTCCTCAAGAAGTTGGTGATACGTTCCGAAAATAGGTCTTGGACTTGCCGTGGTATAGCCATCGATCAATATGATAATATATTTGTGACCGCAAGGACAAAGGGCTCTCTCGGTCTTCTCAGCAGAGAAAAGGTTGTGGTGTTTGATCGAAACCATCGGGTGATCTCCGGCCTTGGCGGTTTAATGCAGTTCAACTATGTGCGAGGTCTCTGCTGCGACTACGGGACCAATCAACTTGTCGTAGTAGATGGGGAATGGCATCGACTTCAGCTTTACACACTATATGACCAACAATCACAAAGACATCACACCGACTCTGCTCTTAACCATCAGTCGGCTTCTGAAGATTGTGATAGCGGTGTTTATGACGATTTCGTAATAGTGAGCCATCCCGAGGGCCAGGATGATGACGATGACGATGATGATGAGCCTCAAACAGGTGTTGATGATTACGACTACGACTACAGCCATCTTGAACTATTCAAAGAGGAGAACTATAACATTGCTTCAACAGGATTGGATTCTGAAACTGGAGACTAGAATTTCTTATAAATCTGTAAACGATGGAAAAGTGAAACGAACCTGTTTATTTCCTCATTTTATGTAGATTATCAAGATAGAGGCAGAAGCTGGGGACAGAGTGTAGAGACAGTTGTGAATCAGGATATAGCCTACGTTCTTCACTATGGGGAACTAAATTCCGTTTACAAATTCTACACGGTGACATAAAATAAATGTTATTTTGTTTGACCTAGTCCCCTGAGAGGGATGGAGGGGTTGTGATTCGGCAATGGACTTCATGTGTGTGCCTTGATAGCATAATCCGTCTTTTGAAGTTGAATGGCTCTGCTTCACAGGACAGTATTAATATGATAAACCATTACATTTCGTCCAGATCTTAAAGGTAAAGACCAGTTTTTTAAACCCCCCCCCCCTCTCAAAAAAATGAAATGGAAGCTCTTATCACGAATCATGTGAAAGAATGAGTTTTGACTAATACGTGATGAAACGAATTTTGACGGGAAACCGCCTATTAATTGATATTTTGGTAAATTATTATATCTATCCGGACTGGATAGATGCTTTTAAATTTACCAAGATTGGGCCAAATTTCTTATCATTTTGATGATTCCAGAACCTTGCAGTACACACCAATAATTATATGCTAGATGATCAACCTTTTCTGATCGATTCGACAACGTTTCTCACAATGCAATCGCATGACCAGAACTGGTCTATACCTTTAACGCTCTCAAAACTCCGGATTGCTTGTTCTTCCTTTATAAACTTTACTATTACTACTGAGTGGGGGAAAGAACCTTTACTCATGCAGGGTCCTCGCTATGGAACGTCCTCCTCGAGAGATTCGTAACAGCAGATCAGTTAAAGTGTTCAAAATCGGCACATAATTAATTGTTCTGTCATGTTTGTATGTTCTATCTTAATTTTGTTCCTTTGTTTATAATGCATATACCCTTGAGGGCTCTCATTTTGTTCACAAGTGCGCCTAAGGCCATTTGATTTCAAGTTGATTCGGCGATTAAGGATAATATCTTTTTCAAAAAGGTGTTGAAAAAGAAAAAAAATGCAAATATATGAAATTCCTAGTGTAGCTGGTCCTATACGTCGTCATCAAAGAGTTACCAATATGTATTGGATCAATCAGAAATTGCAAAAAACTCATTACTTTCAAACTCTTCTTCAAATCTTTCTCAACTTTTCACCGATCCGTTTCTCTAAATTTAATGCTTTTATCGAAATCAACTTGGTTTGAACTGTAAACAGTGTGAAACATCCCTTTAAAAAACTTCTAGATGAACACGTCTTTGTTTACTTCCTGCTATAAATATGGTATTTGCATATTTTACATGTGATCACGTGAAAGTAAAACTTAACGGTCCAATGTGCAAGAAAAGTGTTTTAATTCTGATCAAGTGTTTCCTTGTACAGGTTAACTGTGTCCGTGTAGATAAGGAGGGAGTCATACGTTTAATTTTATTTGTATAGTGATGGATAATTTTGGAGTACTCGTCATTTTCTTCCATTCATTCTCCTATTTCCTCAAGCTATAGCATAGTCAGAAAGAAAAGACACTGTAGACGCAATCAATCAAATATAAATTTGATATACATTTATTTGATATATATTCCAGAGCTTAATTATGTGGAAGAAAAGACAGGCATGAAAACATTGATGCATGCATAAAATATCGAATATACATTAAGTTGTGCAATGCCCTCAGATAAAGATTTTAAAATGTAAAATATGGAATGCATACAAATATACACGACATTGTGTATCGATATAAATGATACAAATACCAAATTAGATTGATATTCATTCATTACAAAAGTTCGAGATAAGTACAACAATACCCGTATTTCGTCTTCGTTATGGTTATGACAAACTAGCGTTGGCATGACAGACTTAGCTATATTCACCAAATCTATACATTGTTGAAATACATGTAGAATAGGGATGTTTTCTTCGTTTTAAATCACTGCACACTTTCTATCTTTTATCAATGTTTTCTGACTGATCGGTAACATATAGATGCAACAATTATGATCTCCCTGTATCAAGCATATCGTTTTTTGATAAAAAAGGGATATGACAGAAGGTTCTCAGGCTGTCATTTACGATCATTCTAAATGATTTCAAGAAAGAATTTAGAAATAGTAGCAGTAGTAGTAGTAGTATGAAACTAGGCATATGACATTTAAGCGTGAAAAGAATTTGAGAATGAATCATGATCCTGAATTTAGTCCTACACGTATTATCAGAATATATTACTTGGGCTAACATTTATATATTTACTGTAAACGTGTCCCGTTTGATTTTAAACGTTAATAATAATATTCATTGAAACGCATCAGACGGGTTGACAAAGTTAACAGAGTTGAGCAGTCTTCGTCTGCTAACATTTTAATCAAAAATTATTTATTATATTTTTATACTTTTCAAGATTACTGTACATAATATCTTATCATATATCAAGATTCGTTTTATTAAGCTAAACACGCATGTGGAAATTATACACGACAATGTTATTAAATGGAATGCCTTGGCGTTAAAAAAAGAGCAACTGTCAGTATAACAGCATGCATGTATTTCGTTGTTGTTTAACAATCTGAAAGCATTATCACGATTACTACCCATCGTTCGTTATGAAATACATTTAAATAGTGGTTATTGCTGTAATACCTAATGAAAGATTCAATAAAATACGTTATACATGTATTTAAGGAATATATTATCTGTTTTATCAATAAATCGTACCTAAATTGCACCATCATAACGTATCAAACTTAGCCTGGAGTTCTTTTACCAAACTGGTCTTTTCTTTGTCTGGCAGGAAGCAGGATTGAGCTGCATTCAGCGTCTGTAATATACAATTAAGAAGATAATTTCGAAATATAGACGAAATCAAAAACAACTTATGTTACGTCGATGCGCGCATTTGTGAACCACTCCATCTCATTCAGATTCACTCCGTCTTTCATCCTCCTCCATCTCTCTCCATCCCTCTTTCTCAACCTCCCTCCCTCTCTCCTGTTATGCTTTCATAGTGTGTGACTCTCCGTCTCCTTAAGTGTTTTCTATCCCTACATCTGTGCGTGTGCGTGTGCGTGTGTGTGTGTCCCTCTCTCTTTTTATCTGTTTGATTCTTTCCCTCTGTTTCTTTTTTTCTCTATGTCTTTCTATTTAGTATACCAAGTCGTGTTAGAAATCAATTACCCCTTCTCTCTCTCTCTCTCTCTCTCTCTATCTCTCTCTTTCTGCCTTCCTTCTAATATTTTGTATTCTTTCTCTCTCTCTCTCTCTCTCTGCGGATACGGGTCTGCATTGTGTGTTTCCATTTCTCTCTCTCTATCTCTCTCTGCGGATACGGGTCTGCATTGTGTGTTTCCATTTCTCTCTCTCTCTCTCCCCTCTCCCTCATTTGTCATTATGGCATGTACATAAGTCGTACATAAATCGATGCGTTTCTTTCTACGTAAGCACTATCCTCAATGATGTCAATGATGTGAAACTGATATCATGAACAATAAGGCATTCATCGCTTCACAAATAAGTAGGCGAAACTCTTTTTATATTCATTAATGACAAATAAAAAGAACGGGACCACATGACATTCACCTTGGGATGGCGATATTACTGTAATTCAAGACTGATTGACGTCTATAAAAACAAGTATGGAAGTGTAAGGTCCTATAATCACTTTTTTTTAAATAATGATTTTAGCTCTGTGGGATGAAAATCTAATCTACGTCAAAGTACTTTTGGAGCACAATGAAAAGCTTTTTATCTCTCATTTGTATCTGTTTAATGATGTAATTCATGTTAATTGTGGTTTTGTAAGGGGGCAAAAGGGGGCGGCGAGCTAAAAAAATCCTGAGATATGGAGAGTAATACTCATATCAGACAATTCATGTTCTATAATACTACTCACCCAGATAAAGGTGTGGGGAAGGGCGATTTGTGACGAATATATTAACCAATGTTTTTTGTATACTGACAACGAATTTATTAACGAATAATCGATACTTGTAATTTTTTTTAAATCTAGTAGAAACATGATACAAAATTTGCATTTTATTCAACATAATTTATCAAAAAAACATTACACGGAAGCGTTTGCTAATAATATCAATTTTTCTGAAGCGTTTAATTAGTTAATCGATTTATTTTTGAACCCCCATTCGCCCTTTAATCGGCTATAGGTCTTCTTATATCTTTTTTTAAATGAATATCGAAATTTGCTCACCATGTTTTTCATTTGGCTGTCGGTGAAATCAAAATATGTTTTGGCCAGTTGAAATTCCGACTCCATAGTATTTAATAGTAAGGTTGGATCATCAGTGTTGATACCTATATTGAATCCATCTTTTGCAAACCTGTAAATGAAAAATAAATAATTATTCGTTTCCACAATTTAAAGCATTTATATTATATATGACTAAGTGGAAAGATGTCGAAACGCTTCAATAGGACGTTTTACTATCGTTGATTTTTGTTCTTCGCTTTTCGGCTATTTATTGTTCTTAGTATTTTGCCTAGCATTGTGACTGATTATGAAGTGTGTGAAAGAATACGAAATCATTAAATATATTTCCATTTTATCATGTAAATATGAAAGGATCAATGAATTCGTATATTGTGCCTTTATACAAACTATAAAACAGATTATATATTTTTCTCTTCGGAGTATGACAATTGAAGCGGCTGTCAGTTGCGCAATATGCCTAAACGTTTATTGTCAATAGTATGGTTTGCGTATACTCGGAATAGTTGCTGGCAATTTATAGTCTTACCTTTTTGCAATATGATCCGATAACTTTCCCTTCCAGGCACCGGTGTATATACTTGACGTTGGGCACAATTCAAGATGTATAAAGCGATCCCGTATCATCTACATATAAACAGGTTACAAAAAGGAAATGAAAAAAAAAAACCTAGATTCATATACCGAACCACACTTTTGCCCATAACATTCAGATTATTTTCTGTATTGATCAATATCTATGACTCTATAGCTTTATCATTAAATTTCTTAAAACATGTAAGCTTGGTGCTTATGCACTTGTATACAAAATTTCCTTATTCCATTGTGTTTTTAATTCAACCCTAAATTATGTCTTTCTCTACTGCTACGGTATTTCAACTACAATGTCTACTTTATCATGAGCCTATAATATACAAGCACTGCTTTTCAATAGGTTCCTGACATTCTACTTAATATAATCATATGAATTGAGTGTTATTGAGACGTACTCATACTAAATGTATATATTAATATATAATTTATATATTTTATGTATCAGTCCATAGTTTTTTGTAAAATGTAGAACAGATAAACTTGAACTTCACACTTCAAACTTTATCTATCAAGAATAAATCATATTGTCGATATCATTTCATGAAAAGAAGATATTAAATTATTTTAACCTTTCGGGCAACAGTGTAGAATGCGGCACATTATCTAATAATGCATAGTGTTTATACTTTCATACAGTGTACATGTTATTTCATCGTTTGAGAAAATGCTTTACGCGAATCTTGAAATGTAATAGTATCTTTACTCGTGAAAAGCGTTTAAAGTAAAATGTAAACCGTTACCTCTTGAAAGAAAAGATTCGGGTTTTATGTTATAATTCACAAATAAAAAATACTACATGGGCAAATCTCTCGCTGAAACAATGACTAAAATAATATCAACTTCATTTCACATTTATCATCCCAAAATTTCAATTACAGCTTTTAAATTGTACCCCAACTCTGCATATACACACAGAGAAATAAAAGGTGTTCTTGGGGAGTAAAACGAAATTGGAAAAATAGGTCGCCCCCTATTACACCTTTTAGGGAGTAAAACACGGATATACGCAAGGGTGTACAGAATAGTCATTTGAGGGGTGTAATTTTACACCCTATTTTAGTCAAACGATGCGCATTCGATACAACAATGGCGCATCGTGTCGATATAGGTACTGCCAAATGAAGGAAAATAAGCATAATTTACATATTTTAGTCATGTTGGGGGAATTATCATGTTTCATTTGGGCATATTATTTGTGTGATAGTTATCTGATCAAGAATAAGGGGTTGTACCGAAGAAGGTTTAATGAAATTAGCAGAAGTGTTGTTTTACTAACTAAAACATAATTGCCTTCTTATACGTGTAACTAAATGGAAGATATTCGTGAAGGCAGGATTGTGTATTTAGGTATGTCCACCACATATGATCCGATACGTCCATCCAGGTCAGCCTCACCGAGGCTAACTTTAAGTTGGTTCTTACAATCTGCACTTGTGTTGAGTTCACACTAACTGTTATTTTCTTTAGAGCAGTGAAACGTAGACAAAAGGGTGAGAATCAGTAACTGTTAATTAATTAATTGCTCGAGGGATGATCAATTAAGAAGGGTGTAGATTTAATCGGTCATATAGGGTATAAAATTCAACCGCAGGGGTGTAAATTTGAACCCATTTTTCATGAAAATGGAACCAAAAGGTTTTAATTAAGCACCATTGGGTGCAAATTTCACTCCTTCTTGTGGGGTGTTAATTTACTCCCTACATTGGGGAGTAAATATACTCCCTGAGGGGTGTCACTTATGCGACAAGCATTTACTCCCTATAGGGAGTCAATTCAAGCCTATTTTTCTCTGTGTGTATGCCTACATATTGTCAACAACAAAAAATGATCACTGACAATTGTACGTACTTTGTATATATCAGGATCTTGACATATTTGATAGCCATGCCCTATTCGTTCTGCTCCAAGCTGCTCTACGGCGAATCGTACATTCTCTGCCGGACCGAGTTCACCGGCGTGGACCGTCCGATGTAACCCTAAATCTCCAGCTAGCTATCACAATAATGAAAACAGACGATGGACGGACAATTTATTATCACCTTAATTTCAATATTTGTTTAAAAATTTATAAAGGGTATTTTTGTTGGCTATTAAAGTATTTTTGCCTTCCTTCACCGTTTTGATAACACAAATTACATATGATTGCTACGGATTCCATGATACCATTCATTTATTCACTCATTTACTATGAATTTAGGGATGAATCCACATTTAACTTCGACAGCTGGATCAAAGACAACGAAATCTCTCCTTGGATAATTTTGCTCGTCATACATGTACATGATGTAGTGCACCGTTGTTCATATACATGTATATTTCAAGTGTCATTTAGTGACAACGTTTTCTAGAGGTACTTTAGACAGAATGTTTAAACATTCCCGTTAACGTTACTTCTCAAACTACCAGCTACGTATGATATTTTATAAGATTATATATTAAAGAGAAATCCATTTGTATTTCTTCTCATAAATTACAGCACAATGTGTTTAGTAATGAAAATCAATACAGCAAATATTTCACAGAATGTTCGAAGTGCCAGTAACATCAAAAGAAAACAAGTTACGCTAATTGCGTCATGGTATATCAACATGTTTGCAACGTCAGATTAATAAGGAGATTTACAACAGGAAGGAGGGTGCAATAGATTGGAAAGGAGGAAAAATGATGGCATTGGTATAGTTCATGTAACAGCATAAATTTGGTTACGAGGTGATAAATCATCATATAGACTGAGTATATCCAGTGGCGGATAATGCGGGATCCGCCGTTAATATCAGCTTCTTTAAAGAAATGTAAACACGTCAACTGAAATACATGACGAACTTACCCTGAAGGCATCTATGTGTTGTTTGGTACAGGGAGCATCTTCGTCACCGGCCATGTCGACCCCAACCACCGTATCGTTCAGGAATTCATGGCTCAGCTCAACCACCTCATGGGAAAATTCTATGAGCAAAAACAGAAGGATTAAACAATAAAATAAAAAGAAAGTCGGTAAAAATAAGGAGTAGAGAAGTTGTTATATTGTAATGATTTTCTAAGAAGCCCTTACAGCAGTAGAAAAATCTACGTCATCTGATTTAACATAAAACGTGAATACTTCTGGCTATTCAAAAAATTACCTTTTATGATGCGGAATAAAATCTATTAAAGGTATAGACCAATTTTGAAAATGCCCCCCCCCCACCCCCTCTAAAAAAAAAAAATGGAAGCTCTTATTACCAATCATGTGAAAGAACATGTTTTGACCAATACGTGATGATACAAATTTTGCCGGAAACCGCCTAGGCCCTACTAATTGATATATTTGGTAAATTATTATACATGTATCTATCCGGACTGGATAGATATCGCGTAGTCCCATATACATCTTTCTGTGTACAGTGTTTGTAACTTTACCTAGACTGGGCCAAATTTGTTATCATTTTGATGATTCCAGAACCTTGCAGCACACACCATTGCTCGATTGTCAACCTTTTCTGATCGATTCCACAACGTTTTTTTCACAATGCAATCGTATGACCAGAACTGGTCCATACCTTTAAGAATGAATATTCTCTTCATATCGAGGGCATTTACTAGTCAATGGTTGTTTTAAAGTCAAGGTGTGACACCATTCGGACATCTATATTTGAGTTATTTGAGTAGTGATAGAACTACAGTGGCTTTTATATACAAAATAGTTACACTTTTAAGATAGGTAAATATGATTTTACCTGGGCATGGTCTAATCATGCAGAGTATCGTACGACCGTTGACCTTGAATTCCTGACATCCTTTTCGTATCCCATCATTCACTGCCATCACCACGTCACGTGGTGTCATGATGTCATCTCTGATAACTGATTTGCCTCTGCTATTTGGAGTTGTAAACGAGGAAGACATGAAATGGGGACTATACCGAGCCTCAAAATACACCACGCCCTCTTTGGCTTGGTCTTCGCAGAGTTCATATGCGATTTGGCTAATTAATTCTCGGTCCCCGCTGAAAAGAGAATAGAGAGAAAAAACATACAAATTGAAACCAAAAGTAGCAATTAAACGCCGGGAAACAAATACGTTCATGATGCCAATATTATTGCCGAACATTAACCAGACATTTTCTAAAACTTCTGACTAGAAATTCTCATAGATTCTGATGTCTGAAAGTATGCCACAAAGGGAGGACTAGGGAAAGTCAGATACTTTAAATATATTAGAGAGAGAGAGAGAGAGAGAGAGAGAGAGAGTGATACACAGAAGAGATCAACCTTATTCTCAGATCAATAGTATTACCGTTTTGTATTTACTTAATAGAGTTTTAGTTTAGCTCCGATTGGAACTTCAATTAATTGATATCAATTTATGTCTATCGGGTACGCATCCATGAATTCGAAAAGCCCCATCATTATGTTCAGAATACAAAAGGGCCTGAATATTGTTTTGAATATTTATATTTTCAACATAAAAAAGAAAGCGATTTATCGTTGTGATTTGCACCTGACGTAACACCGCCTTTTTCTTTCAGGGGTGCAAGGTACACATCACATCACTGATATAAAAGTGCAAATCTGTACAATAGTACCACTCCTGAAGTTTTAAAAGTGAAATTTTATGGATTCAATTTTACATCCTTAAACCATAAAGATACACATTTTTACCCCTTTAGATTAAGATGCCACCATTCTTTCGAGGGTGCAATATTGCACCTTCCTTTCGAAGTTTACACTTCTGAAGTTCTGAGCCATTTAAGTATAGTATCGCAATTTTAACATTTGGGATGCAATTCTGATCCTTCGTTTCCTTGTGTATAATGTAAGTAAATTGAAACTAATTTTCCTGAGGCAGCTGGTCAAATCAGGTTACAAACATTAACTTTCATATCATTAGACAATCATTCTCCCTTTTCAGTGATAATCGGCATATGAAAAAAGAATCGAAGGCTAACCAACACTAATAGTGCTGGTCAATTTTCATCGCAGTACTTCTGTTTATCATTACTGTTTCGATGAACTTACGCAATGATTGGAAGGATTCTGTCGAAAGATGAAAGAAAGCTTGCCAGGTCACCTTTGGAACACCGTATCAAATCTACAAATTCAGGAAAAGAATTCGCCGGCCCACAGAGTCCTTTCTTCCTGAAAAGAAAGAATATGTTACAAGGTTAAGTTATTGTATCATTATAGACAAAATAGACAATAGAAATTGCAATTTGAGATTAAGCAATAAGTCTATAACATTTACCAAAACGTACTGTAGTACAAATTGTTATTTTTCATAATAATCTCAAAGAATTAAAGAAATGGTAAAATAATCACGTTAAGATGAAAATATGAATACGAAGACTTTGTCCTTCTAAGGCGCAGATCTAACTCCACTGCATGCCATCAAAACACTGCAACAATTTCATGATGTAGTGTACTCGTGCGGATGATTCCATTAATGTTTCAATGTGACAATCATGGATATATAATAATCGCAGGAAATATCATTTTAATTGATTAAGTTGTCTCACCTTGCAGCCTGCCATAGTGTGCTATGTCTAACTGCTCCATCGAGGTGGATATGGAGCTGTACCTAAAAATGAAAAAAAAGGAATAACAAGGTAGATTGAGTAATAAGCACTTGACATCAAGTCTTCATTAGCATAAAGGATGCAAAAGCTTGCTGAAATTTGAGGTATGTTACTTGCATGTGAGATGCTTTCCTTAAACTCTTATGTAAACTCTTTAAATGCATTCTCGACGACTATCAGCCTCCTCATAAAAAGGTCTTTATAATCATGTTGGGGAAAATTTATGGGGGAAAAATACTCTGATGCAAAAAAAAAATCGCATAATAAAATAGTTGCGATTAGTAGCAGCTGAGCCCATGAGCCCTGTTTCATAAAACTTGTTGGCAATAACAACTGCACAGATTCATGACAAATCTATTCATAGCCAATCAAATGTAAGGGATTCAGTAAACTTATAACAATTAGCGTACCTTGCTATTCATAACAAGTTTTTATAGGGACCTGTAGTGGTCTTATTTCCAATACTCATACAGATTACAACCAGTACAACCTCTGTCCTTTATAATAGCCTCGTACATCACACCAGATGAAACTCATCTATGACATATAAATGCTTGTGTCTGTGTCTTATCCATGACAAACACAGTGATGACAAGTCTCTTACGTCCAGACATGCATGACGCGCTTCTTAATGATGGATGCCTCAGCCGGTTGGAATGACACAAGTGGCATCACAACATTCTCATTACAACCAAAAGGGCGTATGTCATATGATTCGTTACAGCGCCCTTCTGCCTCTCATTGGCGTATGGACGGAATGCTAAGTAATGCCTACGTAGAGTTTGGGGTCATCTTTCACAGATGACGGGTAAGAAGGTTGATTGATAGTGGCTCTTCTTATGCCTCCGATTTTCCAGTTCTCACAGATCAGCCACCGCATCTGCAAGCTTCTACCATTGGGACAGCAACTACAGTAATACCATGGAGATCTAACACAATTGTCATATTTTGCAATCCCCTCTATACAAAAAATCCTCGACAATATCGAAACTTCCAATATTTTGGCAGCTCGTTTAAATTCTATTTATAGAGAGTGAGATGATCTCTATAACTTTGTCATATATCACGAAGAAGTTTTGTCAACCCTCATCATTTGGCAACCATTTGCACTTTATTTTTCGATAGCGAGGTGATCTCATTTTGCCATGATTGCATAATTTACTGCACATTACATCAGATAAGAAATTATGGTAACAGGCTCTAAATTGTTACATAATTCATTCGATAATTCAATAATTGTGTGTGTTTGTTTACATTTTCTCTTTGCAATCCACCAAGACTATTGGAATGTTTGTGAAATCAACTTTCAATAGCAACATTGAAAAATGAATAATAGTGCAGTGGATATACCCAGGAGGTAAGATATGTCTAAGCTCCTTGGTAACATCAAACCCTTCATCGGCCCTTTAATGTCACAGTCTGTTTATTCTGCGTCATGCGTGTCCCATATATACTTTAGTCGTGACATGATTTCAGACCACTGTTGCCCATACTCCGGACCATCACTAAATTGATTACTTCCATGTGTGTGGTTCCATGATTAACGAAGGCGCTCCACATTGTGTACTTTTGCAAAGATTTACAGTAACATTTTAACCTCTTAAAGGGGAGGGAGGAAAGGATAAGCATCAACAGACAGGGAGAACTATTTCAACTATAAACGCATGTAAACACGGGAAAATAATGGGTTTTGGGTAGGCAATGGTAATAATAATAATAATAATGACAACAATAATGCAAATTATAACAATGACAATAATTACAAAAACAATGATAATAATAATAACAACTACAAAATTAATCATGATGATAATAATAATAATACTACAATAATACTAACAATATGTTCTGGTATACTATAGCGCTCATATCTTTAAAACTTGACACTGGTGGCACTCAGCAATGATAAGTCGAAAAAGACATTGTTACACCCCAACAAGACATATATAACGAAAGTAGGAGGGATATTATAATGTTGTTCAAGCAATTTCCTTACATCATGAGACATTCATTGGCTCTATTTTTTTATATTTTTTTTGGTCTGAGTTTTGTTCTTATAGCCCTGTATACTCGAAAAGGTGGTGTATATCGGCTCTGCCTTGAGCTGCATGGACTACACCACTGGTAAACAAACCAAGTCTATAGTTTTATTTTTTCAATGATTTTCTATTATTATTCTAGAACACAGGTGACCATACTCGTTAAAATGCACTGCCATACAGTGGAATAGGCGATTAGTTTCCACAGCACGAATTGTTTTCGTTCCAGTACAATTCCCCTCTTCTCATCTAAACGCCCCATTCTCCCAAACCCAGCTGAGCATCTCCGATATTATTGCAGTCTTCGATGTTTTTAAAGCAATTACTTGTGCTATGAAGAAACCACTGGCTGTTGGACTCCCTCTCCTATCTATCCCCTCCCCCGTCTCCTCCTCCCCCCCCCCCCCCCCGTCTCTGCTCCTCCCCACCTCCGGTTCTGACATATTGTGCAGTCTCCCTTTTACGTTTCCACAGCAACTATAACCATGTAGTGTGAATATAATATTACGCACCGCTGGCTATTGGACTCCGTGCATGTATGTCCTTTCTTCCGCCCGGGTGACTTATTAATCATAAGGAATATAATGAGCACTATACAGATCTCTCTCTCTCTCTCTCTCTCTCTCTCTCTCTCTCTCTCTCGTCGCTTTCGTACTATAGTGTTGTAATCCAATTTCCACTATAGCGACAGTGACTATCCTACACAAATACACATGTGGACAAGACGTATGTTTCATACGCTACTGGGTACCACTGCGAATCGTTTTGAAAAAATTGACATAAATTGACATAAAGATATAATTCTGTAGATGACTGTTTTGATTCAAGCAACAGAAGGGCTATCTCCTTGTTACAATCGTCCGATATACTGAAATATTAGATGTGGGCTTTTATGGGACAAAATAGCTTGGCCTTGCTTTACATATCCTATCCCCTCTCATGACCAAGAAATATCGCTATGTATATATATATCATGGATATACAGGACGATATTCTGGTAAACTGTATAAGGTTAGGCCTTATAAAGACATCTGTCTCTCTTCTCCTTTCTTTTTCCCCTCTTTTTCGCTGTTCTTTTGACAGAAGTGGAGGTATGAGAGAAAGAAAAATCCAAAGCAATTCTATATTGATTCAGTGGTAGTAAATTCAAACACATTACACTTAGCGAGACCCTAGAGTGAAAATAGATACGTATAGTGCCAATAACAGGTAGACTCTTCAGATTATGTACCCTTTGCTTACCGGGACGACCGGGTGGTTCACGTATTAAACCTACATGGAGAATATGGCTTGTGAATCCAGTAGTCAATAGCTTAATATCAACAAGGGTACGAAAAGAGAAACATAATCCCTGGAGCAAGCTTTAATATACACTGCCAAAATTAGGAACATAACTACCGTATCTACACTTTAAAGCTTGCATCATTTTATTTGATCCTGTGTAATAATTCTATTGAAGCATCAACATAGTTATTTATAAATTTTAGTATCAGATTCTATAGTTTCATCGTGTAAATTATCTCTACAATTGTTATGTATCTGTTCGTATTTTTTATTTTTATTTTGAAATCCAACTTTTAGGATGCAATAAAGGAATAATAAAAGAGTAATAAGCTCAGCCTTAATTTCCCCCAATATTAAAAACATGTAAGCATCGATCGTTAACTCGGCGAAGAGGAAGATCGCTTCTTTGAACAGTACCCCCAAATGCCATTATTAATTTTGCCCCCTTAAACGGGCAAGGGACAATAGCCAGACCCCCAGCCAAGAAGATTGACAAAGAAAATGTGAGTGAACTACGAAACAGGTGGAGAGAAGTCGGATATATGTGTGAGAGACTGTGTGTGATATTGAAACTACGTTTAAAATGTTTGCAAAAACGTTGCGACTTATCTTTCGTTACCGGTCAAGTCTTCGCACTGGAATAATCAATAAGCAGCGGTGTATCTATACTCAAATAACCTCGAAGAGACAAAGAATAAACTTCAATCGGACTTGGTATAGGGTCAAGTGGTCATTAGGAATACCCGCAGATATCATAAGTTAAGACCTTTGCTAACAGATCCTTGCCATTAAAATATGTAGGCTACAATACATCAACCATCCAGCATACCTTTATAACGTGTTATATATGCATGTCTTCAAAAGTAGGGCATTGTATTATATACCTATACGTACGACGAAGTGTTGCATAATATACTCATCTATACCCCAAACCGTGATGATGGAATATATTAAGACATCCTTCAAAGTAAAATATATTATTTTGCTGTCTAGGGTTGTAGAATGATATATACATGTTAATACAACATACGTGTACACGCACATCCAGTTGGTCTATGTATTATAACAAAAGTAGAACGCTACGGTACAGTAATCGTTATGCAATCGGCATATTTACTTAACGCATATAGAAAAAGACAAGCCGTGGTGGATCGCTAGCAAGATATTTAAGAAGCAATGTACTTACCTTGGGCAATGAACGCAATGGACTTAAACCAGTTCCCGCGTTTTCCTTCGTGATCGTTCCATGATGTCTCCTGCAGATGTAGCTCATGATGTTCATTGCGAAACCATTCTTACGATAGCGAATCGCAGCAGCCGATAAAGGCGACATAATGACTCTGAAATTTATACCTCCCGCCATTACCGTGAGAAGTACTCCTCGACTGTAAAATGCTACCTGCGATTGCGTGCGCGCGTGTGTGTATGTGTGTATGTGCGTATGTGCGAGGAAGTCAGTTTGAGTACACACAAGGAAACGTACAAATTGAATGGGATATTGATCTTCCGTTAATAAAAGCATGTCAATACTGCTTCCTGCATGAGTGGCGGACGAGTTTCGTGTATGGTTTCGTCTTTGAGCAATCCTATTTCACTGTCTACGGACGACTGAGGAGGCGAAACTGAGGGATGGAAATGTGAATAGAGGAAGAGGAATGAAAAGGGAGAGAAAGGGTTAGAGAGAGAGAGGGAGTACGGGAGGGAGGGGAAAGAGAGGGAAGTAAACAGAACGAGAGAGAGAGTTAGAGAGAGAAGGGGGTGAATATTTGTAATATTGCGAAGGAAAGGTTTTTTTTTTTAAGAGTCCCTAGACATAGACATAATAGGAAGTGTTAAGGTATTTCGCATCATGTAAGCCAGGGCAAGTAATGTGTCGATTAATATGAGATTTGTAAATAAATATATAAATACAGGCACGTAGCTTGGACTCCTACTCGATGTCCCCTATAAGTGAGTATAACTCTCCCCTCCCCCCCCCCCCTCTCTCTCTCTCTCTCTCTTCTTTTTTGCTCTCTCCCTCTCCTTCTGATTAAACTGATTTAAATTGTAAACTCGTAGTACTGTTTTTAAGAGAGAACAAGAAAGAAATACATATGCAGCTGCAGAAATAACCCGTACATGTTAAAGTAATACGAGATCACAGAGTAAATTTATGTTATTCTTCCATCTTTACTTCTCGAGCTACATGCTAGTGTTCAGGCGCGTACGCAGGGGGGGGGGGGGGGGGGGGGGGGGGGATTTTTGGGGGTTAAACCCCCCTTTGGAAATTTTTTGTGTGTAAACCCCCCTAACAAAAACCTAAAACCCTCCCCCCCTTTTGGATTTTTTTTGTTTTTTTTTGTTTGTTTTTTTTTAATTATCAAAAAAAAAAAAAAAAAAAAAAATTATTCCCATGGCCGACCTAAAAAAGGTGACCTTACCCCCCCCCCCCCAACGAGAGCAAAATGTCAAATTTCCAAATTTCGAGACCAAAAAAAAAAAAAAAGTGTCCTCTTACCCCCCCCCCCCCCCCCCCCCCCGCTTATTCAGCGGTCGGCTGAGTCGTTGCGATTTTTTTGAGACCAAAAAAAAAAAAAATGTGTCCTCTTACCCCCCCCCCCCCCCCCCCCCCCCCCCCCCGCTTATTCAGCGGCTGGCTGAGTCGTTGCGATTTTTTTGGGACCAAAAAAAAAAAAAATGTGTCCCCCCCCCCCCCCCCCCCCCCCCCCCCCCCCCCCCCCCCCCCCCCCCCCCCCCCCCCCCCCGCTTATTCAGCGGCTGGCTGAGTCGTTGCGAAATTTTCGGACCGATTTATAAATGTTAAAACCCCCCCCTTGAAAAAATCCTGCGTACGCGCCTGCTAGTGTAAGTAACAGATCTTATAGTTCTCTTACTGAATTGATGGTAATGAGCAAAAACTTACATTGAAGACTTGACATCGCATCAAGAGGCTCACATATAAAGCAATGAGCGAATCTAGTAAAAATGTTGATAATCAAAGTTTTAAAAATTGGAATACGATATCATATTACTATTTTGGATCTTCTTTCAGGTTTGCGCAATGCAAATCAATTCTGGGCAAAACTTCATATTTTGTCACGGTGGTTTGGCTCATTATATAATATAGATAAATAAATTAATAGCTAACGCATAAGCAGTAATAGCGAAAAATTATAATATGTTATGCCCATTTTCCATTTTCAAAATGCATTTAGCTTTTGTCACTGTTAGACTGTAAAAGGGAAATAACCATTATAGTCCTTAAATTGACAGCATAGGCTTTTCCACATTTGCAGTGTTTCTCCTTTCCAGTTTTAAGGCATATTCAAGCGTCGTATTCCGTTCAGATTGGCATACATAACTTGTTTATTTTAAAGATGTAGCAGAAATCTGAACAATTCGGCCTTACTATTAATCATGCCCCTGAATGAATGAATGAAAAATAAGGAGAGAGATAGAGAAATATTATAAGACTGCATCTTATTTTCGAGGAAAACCTCTGAGACTGAACGACTCCATGGGCCACTCTGAGATGTGTGTTTCATATCAGTTTATTAATTTAAGAATAATCTTATGCGACCATGATCTTTTTACAAAAGCCAAAGTCAGAACCCAAATGAGATTGATGATACCATGTTCATTAGGTATATTTGATGATTCCTAACAAGCAATAATTATGAATTCAACGAACCGAATTATAATCGCACTAAAAAATGCTTTCAAGGTTGATCTATTGGCTTGCCATCGCGCAATTTTTCAGCAAATGAAAAATAATCAATTCATTTTCCCGAGAGCAAATTGAAGTGCACTCCATCACAAAGCATTGTGACATTTCATGTACGACTAGACCATAACGGTTTCCATGGCAACCAAACTCAAATGGAATCCATCAATAAGCCATAACGTTGGCATGGAGTAGACTGATGGGAAGATATTTTTTAATCGAATTGAATTTCCTATTCAACGTGAATGAGGTGAAAAAGGGTGCATAGATGCACTCATCACGGTAACGGCAATTAGCAAATAGCAAGATAAGATACAAGTCGGACTGGTCCGGATGTGAAACGCTCTCCTTGTTGCAAAATGTTTCATTTATTGCAACAAACTGGATGATCGTATAGTGTTTGTTTGATATACAATTCAAGAATGGATAAATACATGGTAAGTATTTGTATTTATATTTTTGAAATAATAAATCTTTTCGTAGCATTTTTCGTATTTGTATTTATATTTTTTGAAATAATTAAACCTGTTCGTAACATGTTCTGTGTCCACACTATGCAAGTAACCATATTGAAGTTTGAGTATTAAAGAGGCGGGTGAATGAGGAAATCATCAATTTTGCCTTGTTCCAAATCATTTTTGCGTTTTGTTTGTGCTTGAAAATTAGCCTATTATGATTGTGAAGTGATTACAAACAGTCCACAATTCTATCAGTTTTGATTCCGATTTAAAGTGACAATTTTACGATGCATGCTAAAAATTAACGAGGGCATATCCGAGCAAAGACAAAAGATTAGCAAATACATTCGATAACTTTGAGAGGGAACTTCACTCGTTTAAAAAATCATGTGCTTTCTATTTGTCCAGGTTGCCTCTAATATTTGTTTGTTTGGTTTTAATCTGCATTTGAAGAGATACAAATTCAAACTCAAATTCCCAAAATTCGAACAATAACAAATACAATGAATACATTCTTTACAAAAGTGATTAAATAGAAAATCATGTACAATAATAAAATACTGGCATACCAAAAAGATAAGAAATATATAGCAAATATTTTTCAATAGATTAGAGAGGTAATCTAAAACGCAGGAGACCGTCACTCAGCAACTAGCCTTATTTATTTCATGGCCCAACCAGAAATTTTACTATTAAAGAAGAACAAAATTATTTCTTGTGACATCATGGCCGATTCTTCCCCTCGTTCATATTTCTGTACATACATTTAACTTGTTACCATATTACTTTGATTACTGTCGTAATTTTGAATGTACATGCCACTTTCCGTCGATGAAACATTTTTCGTCTCTAAGTTTGTACATGGATATTAACACATTATGTGTGTATCATTTCGCTTCGCAAGCTGCAACCACAAAGTAAAATTGAATATTGTACATTTACGAATTATTGAGAGGACGAATCAAATTATATCGTTTTTATATTTAAAATGAAATGTCACACAACTTGGTGTATAATTATTTAAATTTCAATATTCTCCGGATGAGTCAATTGAATGAATTACTCATGAAATATTGAATGCACTTTATATTTTTCAGATGATAAGCACCTTTGCGGAAGGTCCTCAGGGGGTCACTTTCTTGGTCAAACATCGAACAAATGGAAAGACATATATTCTCAAGAAGATCGAATGTAACGATGACCCGGAAGCTAATCGTGCCCTTCGGGAGGTCATGCGACTCACCAAGCTCAGCCACAGGCATCTTGCGGTCCCACGTGATGCCTTCGTTCACTGGGATTCTGCAGAAGCAGCCATGTATCTGTGTATCGTGTCTGATTACTTTGTCACGGGTGACCTTGACAGCTTCTTGAAGGAGAAGTCCAGGAAGGGTAAATCCATGTGCGAATCGGACATGCAGCGCTGGATGGGCCAACTGCTCCATGCCATAACCTACCTCCACGATAGCGGAATAGCCCATACTGATCTGAAACCCAGCAACGTGTACCTGACGCCCCAGATGGACCTGCGGATCGGGGACTTCGGGATTCGGACTGTTATCGAGGACCTGCATCGGTTCCGTTGTAGGACCAGGACAGCGGTCTGGTCCCTCTATTGGTCCCCACCGGAAGTCTTTGAGGGTCCTCACGGATCCAAGACAGATATCTGGTCCCTGGGTTGCATGCTGTTCGAGATGGCGGCGATGGTTCACCAGAGCGTCCTTAAGTCTCGCGAAGTCCTCCTGCAGCTACGGGTGGGAGACAGGGTTGAATTCCTGGAGACTCTGAAGCAGATCGGATTGGGGTATGAGAAGTCTTGCCACATCTGCGACTGCGTGATGCAGATGCTCCTTGCCGACCACGATGTTAGACCATCGGCTCGAGATGTTCTCAAGATGCACTACCCGCGACTCTGCATCAACATGGTTACCAATAAGGGAACGGAAACCCCTAAATGATAAAACGTGAAAAACTAAGTCTGATTATTAGCTATATGAAATGTGCTTATAACTGACTATAACTGACACCTTTGTAAAAATAGAGAATTAAAACACTGTCTTATGAAGGTGTTGCATTTTGCTGAAACGGAATTTAACTCATCATCTATTTTAGTAAAGCATTCATTCTATGTGTGAGAGTTTTGAAATGAGATCTGCTACCATACACTACTCAATGAAATACATATTAAGTGCTATAAGTTAGACATGTTTCCTATATCAATAAGCTGATTTAGCCCACTTATGTGCGTGATATAGACACAAGTGCAGTATCATTAATTGTTGATTATACAGAATATTATATGAGTAAAGGAAGTGATGTCTTTGAGTATGCAATAGTCGTCGAAGAAATTAGATAATGCACTTGAAATTAAAACATGACCCCCATTCATGATGTTATATGATAAATGTATGCTTAATATACTTTTACAATAAAAGAGAAATGTAAGCTAAGGAAAATTTCATTCCAGCCAGGTTTCTTAACAGAATGCTTGAATTATTTAGTTCGCCAGTAATCAGGTTCATTTCAAATCTAATTTTACAATGTGAAGGCTAGTACTAGGCTATATCATTCTGCAAGTGTAGATAGAGAACTACATTATACAAATAAAACCAAATAGACCCCTATATGATAATTAGTAATTTCTGCTAGCTAAAGTGCAATCATGCATGTAATAAAATTTGCTTTCTGTTTCACATTAGTGCCGTCAGTAAATTGGAGAAAAAAATTCCCACGTACCTACAACATTTGCAGTGTTGATACAACCTTGTATAACAATTTATCTCTACCACGATTAATTCGTACCGAAGAATTTAATGTTCTACTGCCATCAACGATGACTCTGCTTTATTGAAACCAAGGATTCTCTGAACTCCACGTTTTTCCTTTTGTCTTTACTTTTCGTAGAGATTAGTGGAGAAACCACGAAGTGAGATGAGGTATTCGTATATATATATATATATTTATTTATTTATTCTGAGGGCAAGGCGTTGCTATAGGGGGATTAGCAACCATTTCCCTATACATAATTGTGGTCTTCATCTTTAACGTGTTTCGTCAATTTTATGTTTCTTTCTAAATCTTAGACTACTCGGTTTGGCTTTTGTTTGATTATAACTTATTTCTCGTACTGCCATAATCAAAATTGTGATTTTTTTTTTCTCCACGGATTCAATTTAGAACGGATTAATTACTTTATGAACAGCATGAACATTGGCTTACATGCCAGCTGGTATGTATACAAAAAAACAATCAATTTGTTTCATGAAGCCAGATCCACGTGCCGTGTCTTCTATTTTTTTATTGTTGGTCTCTTTGTTCCCTTTTTTGTGTTCATATATTATTTGTTGTGCAATATACCTATTTGAATTGTTTTACATTGTTATCATAAACACAACTAAAAGAGAAATATATTTGTCCTTCCAAATTGTCTTTTCTTTGATGTGATCCTTTATATAGGCCTACTTTAAGGCATACATGCTAAATACATGTACCTATCTGCTAGAGAGTAATACGACAGAAGTGACCTTTTTACAGGGGCGTGAACAACAATAATGAACGGGGGCGGACCCCGTTAAGAGATTTACCTTGGAAACAGCCCCACGTGTTCACACAAAGTGTCTTTCACATGAACCTCCCAAACATGCCACCAATGTCATTTTGCAAGACATAAATCCACATTTATCACTCTCCACCCAGGTGTAAATGGGGACCCGGAAGTGGCTGGGTAATGATTATTGCATGACCCTTAGGAAGAACAGCAGCAGCATTGCTCCTGATGAGGCTTCCCTGGGTAAACAAAATTATCTTTATAATTGTTATTATTATTATTATCATTATTATTAATATCATTATCATTGATATTACAATTAGTTTTATCACTACCATGATCAATCTAATTGTTGTTCTACTTCTTCTATTTTATGTTATTATTATTATTATTATTATCATCATCATTATTATTATTACTATTATCATTATTATCATTATTATCATTATTGTTGTTGTTATTATTATTGTTATTATTGTGACGAGAGCGAAGTTATTGTGGAGGAAAGTCCAAAAGACTAGGAGAGGAGACGAGCGTAGAGATGGAGACTTGAATATGGATGATCGGCTTATGATTTCAACGTCCAAACGTTATGAATATGTATATGTAGAATATTTACTGCTAAAGATGGCACTCTGCAAATTTCCCTTCCAAATCTTTGACCTGAGAATACAAGCCCTTGCGTTTCCATAAAAATTGTATTATGGTAGCATTAGCTCTTAAAACATTGTACACGTAGATAAACGTTAACATTGTTTACGCACCACAATCACGAGCTGGTGAAAAATTTTAAAAAAATAAAAGGACAAAAGAAAAGAAAATTATTGTGCAAGTAATATTTCCATTGCTAAGTTTGATTTTACGAGCAAATTTACATTTCAAACCTTTGACCCATAAATACATGTTTGCCCAAGCGTCGTTATGGATCTTACAAAGACGTCATGCCGGATATTAAAGTATACCGCGTTCAAACGCTGGTAGATAAATTTCACCTTTCATTTGCAACTGTTCACGAGATGGACGGATTTATCTCTAAAATCGACACTTTTCAACGAAGCCTTCAGGATATGGCAAGACAGAGGATATTTTGGATACCCTACAAGGATACTTAGAATTTGGTAAGAAATAACTGGAATGTCACGACATTAAAACTGTTCACCTCTTGGTTAAAATAAGGATGTTTAGATCCTTACAAGTTTGGAACAGGCCTAAGTAGTTGTACAGCCAAGGAATGATGTAATCGTTATTTATTTCCATTGAATACAGCTTTCGTGCTGGTAGCTATCCTATTCCCCATACACTATGACCATGTTCCTCATCTAGAGGATTTTCATTTTCATTGTTGTAACTATGCTTTCATCATGACATATTTAACTAAGTTGCTTAAATTTGATTACACACCAAATCATTGGATTTAAATCACCCAGCAACAGCAACAAAAGTATTACAAAAATGGAAGAGGCGGCATTAAGAAAAGTGTTTCTTCTTTATTTCACTTCGTAATTTACTGACCTAATTTTTAACCTGTTGATGATAATTGTTATGCTATATTTCTTTCTTTTGAAAAAAAAATGTACAGTAAATACAAAGTAACTAATCAAGATAATCAAATAAAATCATTACATTAAGTCTGAGATTCTTAGAGCATGTTCCCCTTTTCCAATCCATGCCAATGGAATAGGTGAAAATTGACAGAAGATTGTGAAGATGGGTTCGCCTGATCCAATCGAAGAAGACTGCAACCACCGGCCCGACCACGGCCCAAATAACGAGACCATTTCGGCAAGGAACGCCCACGACAATGGCTACGATGACGATTGGCATAGCATAGAACTTGGAGAGAAGAAACCATTGTTGGGCGATAAGGAAGGTCAAGGAAGAAAGGAAGGTAAACTCTCAAAGTCATGATTGTGGTTATGCATTATACATGTAAAGGACACCATGGAAGAACAATTGTATTTTGGTAATAGGCCCCACAGCTGTAATGGGCTAGATTTGCGAAAGAACCTAACGGCTCAATGCCAGTAAACCGAATTGCCCATGTAGTTCAACGGGCCGTGCTTGGTTTTCAATTATTAAAGACCATATCCGAACTGAAAAATGAAATGAATGAGTTATATATCAACGGAAAGCTTACAAGCCGTAGATTACTATAATATCATTTATATGCCATTCTAGTGTCTGTCAGAGGATTATCAGCTCTCTGAAAAATCAAAATATCAAGCTTTGAAAATCGGAAGTTGTTGACCTAAAACTTGCTATCGACTTGATGACATCATTTTATGTGGAGTAGGCCTAAGCATATTCACGATGACTTTGCATTATCTAAGCACGGCTCATCGCCTCAGCTATACAGGTGAACTGTCGTCACTGTAACTTCGTATATGTGGCCGAGGGATAACACAACAACCCAAAATTGAGAAGGAAAGAGAGAGAGAGAGAGAGAGAGAGAAAGAGATAGCCTGTCATTCGATTTTCACAAAACTAGTTTTGTCCGCATTGAAGCTGTAACTTTATTGCACTACCTCCAAAGGTTAGTGTTCTAAATATAAACATTTTGTGTTGAACTTATGCAAATATTTCTTTAAAAGGAGGACAGCAATGGGGAACTTTGATTTGAATGAACTACGCAACCATTATTCTCGTATTTGTATATAAATATACAAACATACATATATAAAAGGAGTATTATATTTGATCTTGCAATAACAAGGTTTTCCTAGTCGTTAATTCTCTTCAAGCATTCACAGGGTAAACTGGTATTTTATGCGAACTGTGAGTTATTGTTTGGGGCATAACAAAATTATAGAGTTTGATAGACATATTAAGTGTCCACGTGCACACAAAGGTGAGACTTTATGAAATTAGGGCAAGGGGTGGATCATACATATATCTCTCCTCCCCCTCCCCCATTTTCATATCTTCCTTGCCCCGCCATGATTGGTGCTCTTTGTTGCAGGAATCCCCTCTACAAACAGACAAAGGTCATGGCAATGAGGATATTTAGTTCGTGTATAATCAATTATAATTCACGAAACGTTTCTAAATAAAGAACACCACTTAAATGAGCAAAATGAAAAGAAGAAAAAAAATCATTCAAAACTGTTATCTATAGGCGCACATTAAAAATGAGAGTTTAAAAACAAAAATATCTTTTTAGGCTGTATAGATAAACAAAGACAATGAAGTCCATATATTGTACACATGCTTATTAGCTCATTTTGCTTATTATGCTATTTAAGACAATTGCATTACTTGGAATGAAAAACTGTTGTCATAAATGAATTCCTCACCATAGAAAACTTTTGAAAAGTCGTATTATCCATGTTTTTAAGCTTTCTGGATTTAGATAAGCAACTTTATATTGCACATAATGCTAATTAGATGATTATGCTAATATAGCTATTAAAACAGTTGCCCAAGGTTGCCAAGCTGGCAACCAAGCTGAATTTACTTCAATACCCATCTAGAACACAAATCACACAAAAAAAAAACATGTACTTAACAACTTTTCCAGGTCTGAAAAACTTCTACAGGACTATACCTAGCAATTGCTGGGGTAATGATAATACCAGGGCCCTCACTCAGGAAGGCTTGTAGAGCATTGATACCGATCAGGCTTCCCTGGGTAAACACAACTATTATGCTTTTTGCAGATATTCTGTTTACTTTGTCTACTTTGTACAGGCGGATGCTACGTACCAAAACGTTATGAACTTCTCTTCCTGGCTTGGTTGGGCACGGCTATGATGTTTGTTATGCGTATCAACGTCAGTGTTACAATGGCAGTGATGACGAACGCCACATTCACCACGCAGGCAGAGGACCCGAATCGGACAGCGAAAACGTGCCGGTCACCAAACAGTACAAGTGAAGACGAAAATGGACAGGCATGTTCACATAGCGTTGATATGTTTTTTTTTTTATTAATCATCACATCTGCAGGAGAAGAGTCAGTTCTACGAGCTTTCAAATAATGCAATTCTTAGATTTTTCTTTTATATTGTGCTATAAACAGACACTTTATAAACATACACTTTAAAGGTATACTATATGTCCCATTTGCAGGCCAAACAAATGAAAAGGTTAAATTCCAACGGCATTTGAAAGATATTACTAATTTAGAATTTCCCTAAAAAAAAAGGGGGGGGGCTTGACAATGTCTTTAAGTGGGAAAATAACGACTATTAGTTGTTGAATCGACTTAAGAGCTATAGAGCCAGTAAGTAATAGTCTGATTTTTAGACCATTGTACCGAATGGTCGTACGTTGTATGCTGCGCAAAGATTCAATCTGTTTAATTTTGGCCATTATAGGAAGAGGGTTATTGGTGTAGACAAATGCCCATGTACCCTTTACAGCTCTTTTTATGTATCAAAGAAGAAAAAAGCCAGTCAGTCACTCAATAGTGTCTCACAGTGAAGTCTAACAAGTAAATGGGTTTCCTTGCATAATTTGAATATCAGGACACTGCTAACGTTTAAATTTCACAGATAGGATATACATGACATATGCATAATTCCTGCAAAGTTCTACAGAAATTGATTTTGGCTGCAAACGGGACGTAGTAACTTTAAGGGGATCGTTTAACAGTGTTATCTATGAGATGCACGGCCCTATGTGTTATCAGTGTCTGTGATATGGTGTTATATTGAAGCCCTAACAAAATTGCGCTTCAAAATGATCAAGAAGTTCCTCAAAATAGTAAAAAAATCTTTGAGTGACCGGTTTTTACCATACTCGTTTTCCCCAGTAGACTGTAGTGTTATGAAAACCGTTTGGTAAACGCAAAATTTGATGTCGATTTTCATAAATATCTTGATAATCAGACAGGCGATCGGCTTGTAAATGTCATGGTGTTCCTGACTGACCCATAGGTTTATAATTACCATCGTAGTATGAGCTAAATCAAGGATTTCCTTTAAGGATCTAAGACAAAGTTACCGGATCCATTTAAGACGCCTAAGGAAGGCGTCTTTGTCGGTCATTTTGTCTTCACTTTGTTAGTTTCCATTGCTTCTACAAAGTTTACATATGTATTTTATCTTTAGGTTCTTGTAGAGCCGAAGTCACACTAGGATGGCTACCGGTCGCCGACCAGCTACGACCACCTGGTTGTTAATGGTTGATAATGATCGTAGAAAGGTTTCGAGCATGTCTTCTAGAGGTTGTCATTGGTTGGCAATTGGTTGCTCGAGGGTTTTGATCGGAGATTTCCGATATTGCATCGAAAATATTTTGAAGACCAAAATGGTCAACCGAATTTTGTTTCTTCTTGTCTTTGATCGGTTGCTGACCGTAACCACATATTTCTTTTATTGTCAATGACCTTCAGCAGCCAGCCGTCAACCAGTTGGCAACCATTTAGAAAGAAACAGAACATTTTCGTTCAGTAGTTCTAGTGGCGGGTCTAAAGGGGGATTAGAGGGCTCAACCCCCACCCCTTCCCCCAAAGAAAAAAATCAAGGCCCGTTTTCTTAATTCTTAAATGAATTAAATCAAGGCACCTGTAGAAAATAAATAAAAGAATCGCACACCTGAGTAGTTCTATTTTCAAGTTCAACTTGGTGACGCTTAAACTATACTTATTGGTTTTGATTTTTATCAGGATGGAGGCGAGTTCTTATGGTCTAGTCATGAGCAGGAGCTCATACTTGCTGGTTTCTTCTATGGCTACGCGGCCGCCCAGATACCCGGTGGATGGCTGACAGATAAGATCGGAGGCACTCGGGTCTTCGGAATATCGATGTTCCTTTCGGCCGCCGTCAGTTTACTGAGCCCGATTGCCGCGAAACTGGGCTACTCGTACTTTTTTGCCGTCAGGATCTTGTGTGGTATCGGAGAGGTAATTATTTTTGTAGAGTTCGTTTCAAAATGAAGCTGGAAGTCCAGCACAGGTAACCAATAATGTGTGTCCTTGCTCATGCTTTTCAAAAAAACGTTTGTAGTCTAGCTAGGTTGAAGAATATCCTGGTAGCAATGTTACAGGAAGAAAGATTGTTCAAAAATGCCCTCACATTCTGAATAACAGAAATACCCTAAAATTTGGACCAAATATTATGCCACCTGTGTATAGTCTGTGAGTATTGCTTTTGTTTATCTGTGATTAAAATTTATTTAGATGTTTGAATAACAAAATATGAATTGTATGCAGCCCTGCACATCAACAGGAATCAACTTATATTTGGATGTCATCCGAACTTTAAAATTATCCTATGTTTTGTTTTCATAAGACTTTGCTTTGCTTTGCTTTTGTTATAATTTTACATTTTTCGAGGGATTGCAGCCCCCGCCCCACGTACTTATATGTTCATGTCGCCCCTACTATGTTCTCTTCATTGATACTTTAGGCGGGTACATTCCCAGCTCTAGGCTCCATGGTGGCACGCTGGTTCCCTCCACAAGACTTCTCTGCAGCCTTCTCAATTGCACTATCTAGTGAGTAGCCTACGTTATCCTTCTTACAACTTTCACTCCAACAAAATTGAATAAATTTCAGGGGGCTGAGGGACGCGCCCCCATAGTTTTGAAGGAGGAACACTTTATCAAATTCCCACACACACAAACGCGCATACCCCCACACAAACGTGCACACCCCCACACACGCGCGCACATTTACACCAATAAACACACACACGTCCCACACAATTTTTTGTCATTTATTATGCTCTAAAATTATTCAAAACCTAACTTTCATATCCTATCAAAATGCAACTGATTTTTTAATATTTTTGTGTGTGTGTCTGTCAAAGAAATATGAAGTACATGTTTGTGTCCGCTCCGCATTTTAAGAGTAGTTTTACCCACTCAATGAACATACTGAAACTCTATATCTTGAACTCATCAGATATACATTTTAATTTGATAACTGTATTTTTAATTATCGTGTTCTTCCGAAAGTATTGTAACATCGAATCTTATCTATAAAGATAATGTATCTCAGTCTGATGGGGAACTTTCATTTCTTTACATAAAATTATTAAGTACATAATAATTTGTTATATCAACAAATTAATGAAGTAGAAAACAAATATTTTATTTCAGGTAATGAAGAGGGGGAGGAGGAGGAGGGGGGCGGATTTCACGTCACAATTTGTACACAAAAAGATGGAGAGTTACTTTTCTTTCAAGGAAAAATTGTTTATTAAAACAGGTGAAAATAGGCTATACCTCAAGAATTAAAAAAATACCTTTTTTCTTTACTTAGGTGCCAAATTTGGGACATTCATCGGGACTGTCTTGTCGGGCCTCATATCCGGTTCAGACTTGCTTGGTGGATGGCCTATGACGTATTATGCTTTTGGTAAGGACATATTTTCTGATCAATATGAACACACCCCAAAATAAAGGTTCTAATTTGCTAGTCAGAGCAGTCTGAAATAAAGAGGAACTGAAAAATATTGATGGCCGCTATTTTGTTTGTTTGTCTGCTTGCATGCTTGTCAAAAAATGTTGAGCAACAAAGAAACAAAAAATCCCGACAATTTGTTTGAGCTTAACAGCAGATTTGGCGTAATATTGTTCCTAATCTTACAAAATACTCAATTTGCCCATAGTCAGAATTATTTTCCTCACATAAAAAGATGTCAACGAATCCTATGAAGACAAAAATGGAGATGTATAAAATTATTTTATTCCTTGTTTTCTATATACGTTGTCTCCTTTTATCTCGATACTTGCATTATTTTTTGTTTACCGCCACTGCTTACACAATGCATCATCAAGGTGGATTCTCTTTGGTTTTGGTCGTGGTCTGGATGGCTCGTATCTATGAGACACCGGGCCGTCATCCCAGGATATCATCCAAAGAGAAGCAGTATCTATCAACAACCGTTATCACAGAGAAGGTAAATGTGATAATACTCGTAACATCGTAATCCCTTAAAGGAGAATAAAACTCAACCCCTTAAATCTCATTATCCTGTACAGCCGTTAGAGGTAGTTTTAGATCTACATACAAGTGATGCGATTTTTGTTATGTCTAGCTATTTCGAATAAGCCTATATCAAAATTAAATAATTCATCCAAAAAAAAATGGTATTTAAAAAAATATTATTGATAGTGAAGTCATAAATGCTCTAACATTGACTAAACATTTCTGACAGAATCATAAATCATAATATCTTTGAGGATATTTGCTTCATATATCCTCTATAACCTAAGTTTGGAATATTGTTGTTTATCTTGTTCACCATGATTCATATTATCATCTATAACCTAAGTTTTTGACATTTGTTGTTTATCTTTTCCACTTTGCTTCATAAAGACGGAGAAGATCTCCATACCTGTTGTCGATATGTTGACGTCTATCCCTGTTTGGACCATAATCGTCACCTCTTTCTGCGGTTCCTGGACCAATCAGGCAATGTTTACAAATCTACCCATCTACCTCAAGCATGTTCAGGGAATGGATATTGAACTGGTACGTTAGAATATTGGTTACAGCGCCTGAGATCGACGATCGACAATAACAATCTAACGAACTTTTCAAAAAAGAATTTCGAAGATGCCCACAACGGCCCACAAGACTTGCAGCTCACGAGACCTACATGTCCCGTCTCATGGGCCTTCTGGCTTTTTTTTCTTCTCGGGATCACCAGAAAGACATTGTCGGTCTCGTGGGTTGTCTGTCTTGTTGGCTTTCTTCTCATGGTCTATTTCGATTTCCTGGAATATATTTGCTTGTTGATATGAGCTGTCACTTGAGTTTTAATATACACCTTATTGTACGTCTTCAGTTGTCTCTTATTCAAATTGTTCAGTTTATATTCCTCCTGCATGTAAAGGAATTAATTTGATTAACTCACTTTCTGTCTAAGATTCTGTAAACACAACTCATCGGCTGTCCAAAAGAAGGCCAAGAGCTATGGCATTAACTTTTTGACGTCAGACGCCGAATTACTTCTAAATTATTCTGTCATTTTATTTTGTAGATAACATTGTTTAATATTTGAAATATGAAACAATTCTAAACGAAATAAAACTATAATCATATTCACCTCTTTCCCCTTCGTTTTCCTTTAAAATTGTCATCATCATGGACTGCACAGATTGGTATCGCTGCCGCCATTCCATTTGCTGTCGAGTCCTTCTTCTTGGTAGTTGGAGGAATGATCAGCAACAAGCTGATAAAGCGACAGGTCTTAGGTGTAATAACCACAAGAAAGTTAGTAACCTTTATTGGTGAGTAAAGGGCGATGATGCTTATGCTCTGAGCTTTTAATTGGTCAAAGATATATATTATGGATCATGTCATCGATGCTTGTCCTATCTACAAATCCCCTCACGGCGCTTCTGGACTTCGAGAGCTTTATGATGAGACAATCAGTTGGCTAAATAAGGACCTTCCTATTTAGATGATGTACGAAGATATATGTTTAGGGTAAGGTTAGTGTTTGTTAGCGATTTTTGGTTTTAGATTAAGTTTAGAGTTAGGCTGGGAAAAATCTTAACTGCACGGTTGAAATTGAAAAACAGCGACCAGAGCGGTTACCGCGAAGCATGTGTTGTAAAACCTGAAAGTATTATGATAACTAATTTTGTATTCATTAAATGATTCTATAAATTTCGGACGGTTTCCTTTTATTTTGAATGGGAGGAGCAGAAGTTTGACAATTTTTATGAACGGTGATCGTTAAAGGCTGCTTTTAATCCATCCATGACACCTTAACATGGACATTCACACTGCTGCATACGCTAGAGAGTCTGTAGAAACATTCAAACGGAATCGGGGATGAAACCAATTGATACAGTATTGAAATACTCCTATGCCATTAACATGTTTCATTAACATGTTTCCATTTTATTTTTTGTTTGGATTATCCTTCATACCTGACCTACGATACATTCTTACGGCAGGATTTGCTCTGTCTGCGCTGTGCTTCCTACTCCTAGCCTACGTTGGTTGCGACACCGTTCTCGCCGTCGTGTTCATGATTGGCGCAGTTGGCTTCAACGGAATCTGCACCTGCGGCTACTACGTGAACCTGATGGACATAGCTCCTAGACTTGCAGGAAGTCTTATCGGTTTGGTCAACTCTTCTTCTGCTTTTTCCGGAGCCATTAGCCCGTATGTCGTCGGTGTTCTTACTCCAAACCAGGTGAATAATCTGTCATCTTCTGGTAGTAACTTTAAGAACAACCATACCCCCTTGTTCTCTGTTTGCAGATTGCCCTTATCAAAATAAAGGATGTTTCCTTAACTTTTGGCAAAGGCCACTTTTATTTATATAACCATATGGAGATTTTATTCCTTTGATTGTTAAAAATAAATCCGATCTCACGTCTCCATTAAAATATAAAAATATAAGTTAACTTGTGTAATTGATCTCGATGAACATTGTGTGACGATCTACCTGCAAATCTGTATCAATAACTCAATAGAAAGAAAAAAATCTCAATCATCTGATTCGTAACGATTGACAAAAGCGAAATTTTTAAATTTCTATTCATATTTTATGTCTTTTCGAGAATTCATAATAGATCTTAGATTCTGCAACACAAAACTAATCACGATTCCGTTAATAGGATTTAGTAAGTAACATGGAGTCTTATTCCGTAGTTAATATAGAGTTTAATCAAGTTTGATCACGTACAAGGATCTAAGTTGTTTACTATCCCATTGGTGACATTTAAATTGCAGTCAAACCTGTATACTGGGGCCGCATAGGGGAATAGAGAAAGTGGCCACTATAGACAGGTGGTCTGCTTAGAAGGTTCTTAAAGACCATTCCTTTCTCGAGGGTTAACATACAGTTGTGGAAATGGTATGATATACTTGAAATAGTTGTTATTTCATAAATATTAATTCACAGAGATAAAAGGGATACAGATCAGGGTTGTTTTGAACAAAATAGGATAGCATTTATTTTTAACACGCTCAGTTACTGATTTAAACTCAAATTATAAAATGTCCTGTATTCGTTATCTTTTCAGTCGGACATTACAGGTTGGCAAACGGTTTTCATCATCTGCTGTGGAATAAATTCGTTCGCGTGTTTGGTGTTCCTGGTCTTTGGATCTGGAAAAGAGCAGAAGTGGGCCAAGCAACCAGGAAAGGACGATTCCTGATTTGTTTTGATTTCAGATATGACGCAATAAGCCGCAATAGTTAAAAAGAAAATTGCCGCGGTTTGATTTTTAACATGTAAATGGATTGCAACTGCGCACAACAAAAGGTCCTACATGGATTCACTGAGCTCTTATAAGATACAGAAATGTGTGAAGCGTATGACACTTTATGTCATTAAAAAAAAAATCTTATCTGAAAAAGGCTGCACTGTGCCAAAATGTTTTGCTTCTTGCGAAATATTACCAAAACATAAAGCTTTCTTTTCAAACACCTGCACTACTTTAACCAGAGCTTATCCCAAAATGCTCCTGTAATAAAGTTGTGGGAAATGTTTTAGCCTTTATATTTATATCAAACGTTCCAGCTTTATTAAGTTTCATTCCTGACAATTATTTTTTTTTTTTATAAAGAGGTTACTGTCGGTCCTTAATATTATTCTTCCTTGCTTTTGTTTGTACTGCTGTTTAATATAAAACAGAGAAGAGATCCTCTTCCAAAAGATAGATACATTCTATGGTATCATTAAATTGTTAATTATCAAGATTACTCAATTCGTGTTATAATCTTTTTATTTAAATCAAGCCCATCATATAAATATTTCTTGGTGGCGCAATTTGTGAAGGAAATACCGATTCTCTTTGACACAAAATATGGAAGAATTGAAGACAGTCCTGCATGAAAAATTAAAACGAAATTATCCTACACGGAATTATCCTACACGGAATTATCCTACACGGAATTATCCTACACGCGAAACGAGAGATGGTCAGTGGACTTTGAATTTGAGACAACGCTTCCTTTTGTTGCATGAATTCCCATTAAAGTTTAAATCATTTGATCATTTCAGGGTGCCATTTTCTATTGGCCAATTTGGATTGTTCAATTTACCTACGCCTTAGACATTATCAAAAGCAGTGGTTATTATCATGATTGGCCTTTCTTAGCATTCTTAGAATTTATTTTTGCACAAGTGCGCCTTGAGCATTTGATTTCAGGTGGATTAGGCGCCTTAGAAAGTATGATTACCATTATTATTAGAAGTAGTAGAAGTAGAAGTAGTAGTAGTAGTAGTAGTAGTAGTAGTAGTAGTAGTAGTAGTAATAGTAGAAGTAGTAGTAGCAGTAGTAGTAGTAGTAGTAGTAGTAGTAGTAGTAGTAGTAGTAGTAGTAGTAGCCAGGCGCGTACGCAGCCATATGGGAAACGTTGTATCATCCGCTCAATCTGACTTGCGTGCATAGAACAAATAAGCATTTTTCCATGAAAATGTGAAGGTTTCTTAAATGTGCGTTTCTTTCCAGCATTGGGGCGCCCGGGAGTCACTTGGGTAACATTTCATAAAGTATAATATAAAAAGACCATATGCACATTTTCTGTACTTTTGTCGGAAAATAGATTTATCCAGCACAATGTCGTCTCTTTTTGCGTTGGAGAAGAGCAAAAAGCGAGTTTCAATCATACTTTGGCCGCTCTCGCAAGCTCTCGCTCGTTTCACTGTGGTCAAGCGACTTTGGGGCAAGCGGTTAATGAAAATACTAACCGTTAGCTCTCTTCTGGTATTAAACTTGTTTTGATTGATTGCATAATTTTGTCGGAATAAAGGAAACACAAAGGCTTGACCAATAACTTATCAGCGTCTGAATTGACCTTTTCACCTTGAATTCCCTGATGCAAGCGCACATAAACAGGTTTTAATGACGTCATCTTCGCTCAATCGGTGTCATTTATCGTAAAATTCTACACTTTCACAATGTTTATACATCTTTTTTTTAATCATTAGTAAGATATAACATATTTTGTCTGATATCACTGAAGTTTTGGGTTTTATTTAATGAGTAATTTTAAAATAAGAGCCATTTTACTGTTTTAATTTACTTGATCGTACCATTAAAGTCGCAGGGTAGAAAGATGCATTTTCCAACCGCGCCAAATTTAATTTACGTTCCGAAATTCTGTTAAATGGGTTCATGTTGTTAAGAATCAACTGCTTTCTGCTCCACCAAACGTCCACATGCGGAATCGTTTATCAACTAAATTATTCAAGTTTATGGATGCTTCCTTCCCATGTGTTTGTGTTGTTGAAGCATGTCATTCACCTGCTATCATTCTTTGTACTCCAATTGCCAGAACGCAAATTACATTTGGTTTTATAGTTTCATGCGTAGTCGTTTATCTACTATATGTATTCAAATTTATGAATGCTTCCTTCCCAGGGGTGGTGTTCATGCATTTCATTCACCTGTTATTATTCTTTGTACTCCAATTGTTAGAATACAAAATGCATTTTGTTTTTATAGTTTCATTCAATTAGTAAGTCAGTAAAAGAGTATGTTCTGCACAATAAAAACAAAGTGTGTCCCTATTGTACGATGTAATGTGTGCCCTCATTTTGTAATAGTTAATTTACCCATTCACATAATGGAACTACCTGCCCGGTGAAGCCAGTAGCCCGTGACCCCTGAGTACTCAACACCGTGTGGGAGTCAGTTTGTGTTCAACTTCTTTTATGAGACAAATCCAAAGCAAACGTTTCCATATGGGGGGGGGGTTAGGGGTTAAACTCCCCTTGAGATTTTTGTATGTGCGTATTTTGAGCAACCCCCCCCCCCTTTTGTGGATTTTTTTTTTTTAAAAAAAAAAAAAAATTATACCAATGACTGACCTAAAAAAAGTGACCTTACCCCCCCCCCCCCCCCCCCCCCTACGGAGCAAAATTTCAATTTTTCAAATTTCGAGACAAAAAAAAATAGTAGTAGTAGTAGTAGTAGTAGTACAAGTAGTACAAGTACTATACAAAGATATCTCAAAGTTTGGAAATTAAAATCTTTTAAATTGTTTATGTCTGTTCAAACGTTCACTCATCTATTTTTTTTGTTTTCTGCATCACTTTATATCACAGTTACGCTTACATCTAAAAAAGAAATGGTTCATAACAAAACACTAGTTATCACAAGTTGATGAAATTGTAACGCTTCTTAGGATTCTTTCAGAAGAAAAATATACTTCTTATTTTTTAACTGCTAGTCAGTGCGAAGAAAAGTAAGAATTACTTATTCTTTCCACTCTGTTATTCATCTGCTTTTGAGTGAACCTTTTTATTTCCACAGAATATAGATAAATTTTCATTTGCAATCGTTCTGCTTTTGTTTGTAAAAGGTATCAATTTTTAATTTGTTTATTGATTTTTGTTCTCATTGGAAATGTCGATAGTATTTATTGTTATGACATTTGTTTAACGTTGGAAATGAAAATAAATGAAAATGTGATAAAACTGATATTTCTATCTCATTTTATTTTGGTCTTCTCCCACTCTATCTTCGCACTTGTCTGTCTTTAAATGGGTGTGTGGGGTTGTGCCTGTGCGTTCGTGTGTGTTTCCCCCCCCCCCCCTCCCCCTCTCTCTCTTTTTATGCTCTCCCAGTCTGTCCGTTGATATTTCTATATCACTCTCTTACATTTTCTCTCTTCTCTCTGTGTATGTCTGCGTCATGTCTGCCTCTCTCTGTCTCTCTCTGTCTCTCTGCCTCTCTGTGTATCACTCTTGTTCTCGTCCCCCTCTCTCTCTCACTCTTGCCCCACTCCCCCACCCAACCCCTCCCTCCCTCCCCCCTCTCTCTCTCTCTCTCCCTCTCTCTCTCTCTCTCTCTCTCTATCTCTCTTTGTCAATGTTATTTTAGTCATTCGTTTATATCAGGAATCTTCTGCACATATTCATTTCTTAACGATGTTTTTTTAATATAATTTAAATCTTATGTAATATTATTTGTTCATGTACATTGGTAGAAAGAATCCAGATTACTATCACAGTGATGAGGTTACATAATCTATTTACTACTAAACTGCGTGCGAGATTTGTACACGTATTAATTGGCATTTCCACCGTATCCGAAGTAAACGCGTCGTGACGCATTGGACAGGGGAACTTCTGAGAATATGTCTACCAATATACTGTATAAATCCAGCTTAACATGGTCTTCAGACATCGAATGCCCCTCGAAATGGTTAATTGTTGGTTCGTTCGTTTCTTGGTCGTGCTCTCTTCACTTCGTTTCACCATGAACTTGTCAACAAAATCTGTACGATCGTCTGCGCTAGAAAGCTATAGCTCACCGGTATGACGTAATGTGACGCGTTAAACCATGTGTTAAAATTTAAAACTCCTTTATGAATTCGGGCCAAAATCATAAAACCAAACTGTAGGACTGATTAATATTCTTGGGGCTAGAGGAGGCGATTGGTAGATGTTGTGATTTCCCAACAGAGACTCCTGAAAACTGCTTTTAGGCGCTAGATATTAAAAATCCATGATTGTGATCCTCAGACACTGTCCTCCTTCGATGGTTTTGCCCACTCTTGTTCTTCCCCGGAGCCGAAGATAACGAACACCAGGGCTGCCAGCAAGGCCAACCCACTAGAAATGAAGAATACATTCTGCCAGCCATGAAGATCAGCCTGAAAATATATATTGAAAGATGATTTCATGAAAAGGATACGACAATGAGTATGACAAAACTATGCGCATACAGCACAAATGTATGCTTAGACAGAAAAAGTTAATGTTTAAGAAAAAAGTTCCAAAAGAGTTTTTAAGCTAATTACGTAAGATGGCTGAAATCTTCACAAATGTAACCGTTTTATAACCATAGCTATGATACTCTCTGCAATCATGATAGCATGTTACAAAATTATAAAGAAGTTATTAAGCAATATTGCAACCATTCTGATCTTTGCAATAATGCAATTGACTGAGTCAAATTAATATTAGATATTACATTTTAGAATATTCAGGCTAAGGCCCTATTCATTGTGATCAAACGTAGAAGTGATTCACTCATGTGCGTTATTCGTTGGTCCAACGGCACAGGCTCGGGCGATAAATTGCCCCGCGGTCTAATTCATACACGAAACAAATTATTCGGTTACCTCTGGACCCAAAAACTATACCTAACATAAAACGGCAACCTGAAACCTGATCGCAAACAGAACCATACCCTTATTAATCGACGAAATAAAGCATGGAGTAATTGTCGCCGAGAAAATTGTATTACGTCGGATCAACTTAGAAAGAATTATTCACCTGATTTGTCGTGAAAACGCCTATTATATAAGGGGTCAACGCGCCAGATAGGGCCGATGCGGTGTTGACGAAGCCAATGATGCTACCCGCAAGTCTGGGTGCAATGTCCATGAGGTTTACGAAGTAACCACTGGTAGACATGCCATTGAATCCTGTTGCACTGATCATGAGTACGACGGAGAGGGCGCTGTTGCATCCTGCGTATGCCAAGAGCAGGAATGATAGAGCAGAAAGTACTTGACCTGAAACGGAACATCAAGATGGGTTATTAGAGATCCATCAAATTTTCTTATTTCGGACACTCTTTTATTTCATGTACTAAACATACGTTTTTCGTTTTCTTCTTCTTCTTCATCTAACAGCTCCAATGTGGGCTTACTGAATGCAATGTTTTGACACTGCAGGCATACCCCGACACTGTCCAGAGATACAATAATCACATCCGTACGTCAGACGAAACTTTTTAAAAAGAAGTACTGTTTTTTTTATTATAAGGCTATCAAGGCTGCATTAAACATTAAATCCTCGATTTATTCTGCCCTTCGCTACATTCGTATCTTCAGGAGATAAATTTGTTTCGCTTGGAATGTCTTTGATTATCACGTATAATAAGGATTTCCGCCGTATTTTTTTGTTCACGGTTGTTGGATAATCGGCAATTTTTGCACATGAATTTAAGCCATGAATTGTGTATCAAATAGATTTAGATGCTGCTTGTAAGTATCGCCTTGCATGGTGATGTAGATATACAGTAGGCTTGCGGGTACACCATGTGAGAGAGAGGGGGAAGATTGGGGGGTCCTCAAGAAAGATTACCAAAAGTCCTTTTCAGGACCCCCTCAATCCTCCCCCTCTCTCTCTCTCATGGTGCACCCGCAAGCCTACTGTACAAATAGATTTATTCTTTAAACATTTCTGCTCAGTCTAATCATAAGATGAGGTTCGATCTCGGAAGAGCGAAAAACGCCATGTTGGCTGATCACATCATTACGTAATAATGACCTACCTATGAACGACAAGAGTTTCCTGGTGACAACTACACTGAGTATTTTATCTTCGATGAGCTTGGTTGCTATTTTGCTAAAAATAACCAGCATTGCTCCTTCGGCTAAGAAAGGGATGGATGAGAGAATACCAATCTGTGATGTAAAGAAAAGGCCAATATAGTTATATACATGCGCAAACACGATCGCAAAGAATTTCGAGAAAAAAATTACTCAGGGGCAATTTCATTTCCATATTCAAACATATTCAATTGACGTCACTGTTTTGATCGCACATTTTAATATATATGTTATGGATAATGGTTTGTCGTGTACTAAAATATCCAAAATTCCTTAAGGGCATGCTTTCATCCTAAGGGGGCACTACTCAAACATATTATGGAGAGCATTGTTGTTATAGTTCTTCAAATCTTTGAGAAATACAATTTGTGTGTATAACAAATGGGAAAGCTGTCCGCCACTACATCACAGAGACATTGCTGATTCAGCCAATTTAAAGCCCAAGCCTTTATAGTGATTGCAACTCTAAAAAACACATAACTTTCTATTTTCGTCCGCGATGTCAATCAAACTATCATAAGTATGACTTTTCTTCTAGAGTAGTTTTCTATCAAGGTTGGATTCCCACATAAGCATAACTGGGGGCAACTTGCGTAGACAACACAACAATTTACCACCAGTTAAATCATAGGGTCTAGACTCACCAGTTCTATGTTCATGCCTTGCACGTGTTTTAGGTAGATAGGTTGATTGGTGAAAACGGTGTTGTTGGACCATGTTCCCACGAAGGCACAAATGATGATGGCCCAGACCGGTATTGAGATCAATATGGACTTCAGTGGTATTGTAACCTTACTGGTCTAGAACCAAGAATAAATGAGAACGATAAGAGGGGATTAGGGCAGGAGCGCTTCTAGAAAAAAAGAATTAAGGGGAGGGCGGCTTGGGGTTGTACTAGGCATATTCGTTTTCTGCATGTAGGCCTACCTCTCGAGGAGAAAAAAGTGTGAGGCTTTACCCTACCCCCCTAAAAAAACACCTAAAAGCGCCAATTGGTTGGGGCTGTCAAAGAGATAGAAAGAGAGAGAGAGAGAGAGAGAAGGACAGACGGACAGAGACAGAGAGAGAGAGAGACAGAGAGAGAGAGTGTGTCGTTATGTGTGTATGTGTGTGCGTGTGTGTGTTCACGTGTGGGTAGGGGCAAGTATATAAAGATATATATAGATATAGATAGATAAAAAGAAATAGATAAAATGAAATAGATAAAAATAAATATACAGAAAGAGAGGACGAAAGAAGGGAGACAGAATTAGGAGAAAATAAGATACAGAAGGAAGATGGAGAGATTAAAATTACTCACAAAATCCCATTGACTTTTCTGAGCGGTCAATAATATTTTTTTCGCCTGTAGTTTTGTTGGCTTATCCATCAAACCTTAAGGGCAATAACATTTAAAAATTGCCCTGCTCAGATGTCTGATATGGTTAATAATGATAATTATCAATAAAGTGATATTGAATCACAAGTATTCATACCTTTTCTGTAATGACAGCTGATGAGAGATAGTGAAACTCTTCTCTGGAGAGCCTTGGATGAAGATGAGGACTCTCATAGATCAGAATAGCCCAGAGGAGGGCCCACGTGACGGCGATAGTACCTGGCAAAGTGAAAGATATACGAGCGAAATGAGAAGATCAGAGAAGTTGATAGAAAGCCAATTCGCTGACTTGGGGTTGCTTTCGTATCGATGGCCCTAATGATACAAACTGCTTTAATTGACCACATCATATAAGGCATGATAAAATCATTAGCTTTAATCGGGAATAAATTATGATGAATCGTTTATTAGCCAGAGTGAAAAGGCCGAAATGTTGATAGATCATAATCAAAAAATATTTGAAAAGTTGTAGCTTACGAACTGAGAAGGATTTTTTTGTTGGTGTATTGTTGTGAATATTAAGTTAATCACGACAGTTAAACGAGTAGAGTGTAATCCCCGTAATTGCCCTCAGATTCTGGTTTTCTACCGTGATTTAGGCACTTACTTTAAGTACATAACCTGTTTGATAGAAGCGTGCGATCTTAAAGGCATCGTTTAACAATGAGATGCACGGCCCTACGTGTTATCAGTGTCTGTGATATGGTGAAATATTGAAGCCCTAAAAAAATCGCGCTTCAAAATGTTCAAGAAGTGCCTCAAAAAAGTAAAAAAAATTGAGTCACCGGTTTTACCGTACTCGTTTTCCCCAATAGACTGTAGTGTTATGAAAACCGTTTGGCAAGCGCACAATTTGGTTTCGATTTCCAATCATAAATATCTTGATATTCAGACATGCGATCGGCTTGTAAAACTCATGGGGTTCCTGACTCACCTTAAGGTTTATAATTATCATTGCAGCATGAGCTAAATCCAGGATTTTGTTTCAGAATCTGAGACAAAGTTACCGGATCTCTTTAGAAGAAAGAATACTTGGTGGCTTGAAAGCTGTCAACTTTATTGAGAACGGAAGGAATAAAGTGTTTTTCACCTTTCATATTTAGAATGAAATAGGGATGGCTATAGAGAAAAAATGATAAAGAGAAGGGGAGATTAAGAAGGACCTCGACAAAAACTAAAATACGGAGAGAAAGGGTGCAAACAAAATGTGAAAAGTGAATGCATATCTGTACAATATAATAAGAGCTATGTGGGTATCATTGTATTGGTGCGTACAAGAGCATGGATGTGGTGTGTGGGTGTGTGCGTGCGTGCGCGCGTGTGTGTATTGTGAGTGTGGTGAGAGAAGAGCACGTGGGTTCGCGTGTGGATATGAAAATTACCAAAGAAATAATACGTTGATGGCCACCCTCCTAGAAAACTTGTACTTGATAACAGTCCGGAGATTATCGTTCCTAAGAAAGTTCCAAATTTGGCACCTGTAGAGGTTACACAGGAAAGAAAATAATTGAGAATGGTTACAGGTTACTGGTACACTGTTTGAAGCTTCACAATGATATTATACTGTAAAGAAAAGAATAATTGAGGCCTTCCTTCTCTCAATGCTAACAATGCCTCATCTTATCATTGTGATAACAGCTGTAAATTTCCAAATATCACAAAATGGATTGATTTCATTCAACAATTAAAACTGTAAATTTATCTCCTAAATTCAGTTTCACTCACAGAGGATGATCGCAATATAAAAAATGATCAAGCAAATAGTTTCATAACTGTAATTATAACACAGTGAATCCACAAAGCAAAAACGACCATGAAGACTTTCAAGAAGTTATTTCAAGGGCAACTATAATGCTCTATTCCGGGCTTTTCAAAGTCGGGACCGCGGTCTCCCCTGCAATTCAACCAAACAAACAAAAAATCTATACGTATGGGGTATTTTGAAAATTTTAAGGAAATTTGGTGTCCTTTTTCAAGAAACTCTCGATAAACGCATGGAAACACTGGCCCTACATAGAGGCTCTCTTAACAAAACTGTAACAGTACTTCTTAGATCATTTATAGACCTAAAACTTCAGTATAAAAGTGTCAATACTGTATAATTACGGAGTATTGTCTTAGTCTATTGAGTATTGTTTGAGTCGAGCCCGGCTTTCCAGCAATCAATATTATTTAACATTGTTCTACTTAAATAAGTTGAAGTATACGATCGACCTTAAAACTTCCAGGCGAATGGCATCCCATGATATAAATCACATCTGGACCGTCAAGGAAAAAAGTTTGAGAACCCCTGCTCAATTGTGTTGGCTATAGAAATCATCTTCAGATTATGATCAGGTACGCACATTTTCTACAGGTAACGCGCAAGGCTACTCAAATCGCCTCAGGTTGATCTTTCAAAGTCTTTGCGATTTTGTTTTATATAAGAGAATTAACAATTATTACTTACATAGGACCACTAACAGATTGGTAATAACTGAATATTGTGGAATGGTTTCTCTTGAAGTTTTAAAACAAACAAATAGCTTACCTGACATAGCGACAGCAAATGCATGTGAGCTTTGAATGCCAGGGTACCATCGTGAAAACATGGATCCCAGACTCGTCATTGTGCCTCCCTGTCATATGGGAATTTGATTTGATTTGATTTGATTCATATATACTCATAGATATATACATAATGTTATCATTGTCGTCATACGGGCAACTTGAAGCTATTTCGCCCGATATGTAACCGAACACATCTAAATGTTAGTACACCTGACAATTGCATCAGGTTAACTGACCTACCATTGCTCTCGCTTTGAGGTAACCCTTTGTAGATGCACTTTTTTGTTGGTGCCTCACCCCCAATTAAATAAACAAGAAAAAGGAAAATGAAAAGGTACCTCGAAGAAGCCACAAATAACCCGAACGGCGAGCAGAAACTGCGGTCCCATTCGGGCTGCCTCGGGTCCAATAAGACTGCATATTCCGGAGATGAACAGGCTAAAGCCGAACACCCGAGTACCTCCGATCTTATCCGTTAGCCAGCCGGACGGAATTTGGGAGATGGAGTAGCCCCAGAAGAAGCCAGAAATCACAAGTTCCTGCTCGTGTGCTGTCCACAGAAATTCGCCGTTCTAGACATTGAAAAATAGGCACGATCGAAAAACTGCACGAATTCAAATCGCAAAGACTTTCGAGATATCAACTAAACCTGTCAATAGCCTTGACCCTCACCTTTAAAATGGGCGAACCTTTCGAAGACATGTAAAATGGTTATATAAAAACTAAACTTAAACTTTGTTGTCTACAAAATGGTACATGTATACAAAATATTTGAATTGGCAGTTGTATTTTATACATTCACCTATTTTCTTTCATGGCAATCTCATGATCATAAATCGCAAGCCAGTGCTCGGGCACACAACCGAATTGTACCATGCATTTGTTTGTTCTGGCCCCCAACATTAAAGCAAAGTAGGTATAAAGTGTGGAGTATATGCACCTATATAACTATCTAAATATTATTTAGGAACAGGGAACGTTGGAACGTTTTACGTTCTTTAAGGAAGTACAGGCCAGATTTTTATTGCAGATGGGTCATTGGAACATGACAACAAATTGGACTTTGAAAGTTTAAAAAATTGCTTAACTGCAGTATACCACACCACCCATCTGAACAATGCGTTAGGGTTAGAGTTGGTGGCAGTGTCAGGAGTAAGGAAAACGATAAGGGTTATGGTTATAGTGTCAGGGTGATGACCCGGTTTAGGGTTAGGGTTAAAGACCGTCGATACTACTAGGCCAGAAGGGATTAGACTCCCCCCCCCCCCCCCAGCCAGGCCACTGACAGGTGGCTATCTCATCAACTCAGCTCTCAACTAACATAAGAAAAAGAGGATCATGGGGGACCAACAGGCACCGATTCGGGAATATTTCTATATAGAGGGAGCAAGTAGCTACAGGTAGACAGTGGGGCTTTAAGGTGAGCCTTAAGGTAATGGTTAGGCTTAAGGTTACTCGCATGATATACTGCAGTTGTTCTAAAAGAAAAAGTCACACATTTCATTCATCATCACATCTTTGGTGATGACTTCTTTTTTTTTAATTATCGAAATGAAGAGCGTACTTCATTCGTGGACTCAGCAGAGATGTTGGGTCTAGGGCACGTTTCCACTGACTGGTTATCGCTTCCATCGTGATCCACAGTAGTGTACGTGGCGTTGGTCATAGCCGCCATGGCAACGCTCACATTGATGCGCATTCCGTATAGTAATCCGTATCCAATGAAGACCATGAACAAAAGTTCGTAGCGCTTGGGAACGTACCATCTGCCTTTACATATGACACAATGATATGAAAACATTAATTTATTGCCATTTCAACGTGAAATTGTGATAAAATGTAGCAATGAAAATAATATAATGACTCACATACATGCAGCGGGGCATGACTACAAAATGCTCGTAGACCTATACTTTATTAAAATAATAATCAAACATTTATAGCTTTTTGGAAGCCTTAAACAGTTTGACTTAATTATCTTGAACTATATTGAAGGCAATTCATACGATCTATTCTCAACATGATTCACCTTGAGGTTGTCTTTGGTTGATGGTTTCCTTCGGCAGTAACGGTTTCTTTTCAAGGAGCGCCAAGCTCTCGCTGTCATCATGGCCGACATCGTCCCTCGTCGTATCAGGGTCGTTCCCATATCGCCCGATAACGTCTTCGCCCTCGCCTTGGTTTCCCAATTCTGAGGAACCCATGGTTGATAGATATACCACGAATTACGAAACAGCTGCTAAAAAATTGTTCAAAGAAGAAAAAATCGGTATGAAGAGCTGGGTAGCTATGGGGCGGTTCATTTAGTAGCCGAATTCATAAATTCAAACCTCGACCGAATAAAATTTAATGAAATGAAACATTATTTTCGTCGAAAATTTTCTTTTTTCATCGTCAAACTGATATATATTACCTATTTATATAATATGCACAGCACTGAGATGAATTGTTAAATATTTTCTTTCATAGATGGTACTAAAAACTGTTCGGTCAATCGCGGGGTTACCCAGTGATTAGGAGTAAACGACTTTAAGGAACGTGTACAAAAGTACATAATTATGAACAAGATTGAATGAACAGTAAATTAGTAAAATACTTACCAACTAATACTTCAAGTTCTGACTGCCCTTCGCATATCCTACATAATTACCAAAGAATGCCAATGTCTACCCAGCATCGCAGCCGGTGGTTTGAGGAGTGAATCTCTTCAAATATGCATTGATTGTAAAAGATGGTTTATGGCATGACATTTAAAACTTCTACGTTGTATTCCATTTGTATGGTTGAATACACGATAACACCATCGTAAACTCTGTTATCTACTGATTAAGCGCGTGATATGTATTCATGTAAAACAGATTTATTTCTGATCTTGTGTACCTGTATAAATCTGTTTGAATAAATAAATAAATAAAAAATATTCATCCCATCTTCCGCTTATTTATAATATGCGATTAAAATCTAACCATTCTAATGCTTTTGGTTCATAACTGAAAAGACAATATTATGTGTCGCGTTGTTTTCAAGTATAAAATCATCATTTGTTCGATTTTGCCATACTGTGAGTTAAATACATTTCGTGTGATTTTAAGACAATTACCCCTCAAGGACAATCAACCCCGGAAAATTACACCCGGAAATCCCCCCCCCCCCCGAGGACGACCACCCTCTTTGGAAAATTACCCCCCCCCCCCCCCCCCCCACACTGCCTACAATTACCCCCCCCCCCCAAAAAAAAAAAAAAAAAAAAAAATATATATATATATATATATATATATATATATATATATGGTTTTAATACAACGTATTATCAGGGTGGACCTCCCCTTTAATGAACAGGGGATAATTTTGGGGTGGGGGAGGGGGTAATTGTCCTAGGGGTTGTTTATAGGGTTGGAGTTAATTGTCCTCGGGGGTTATTTTTCCACGTGAGTAATTTTCCGGGGGTGAAATTGTCCAGGGGGTAATTGTTCTGATATGATATCGCGCCCCCATTTTTGTTGTCTGTACGCATGCAGCTATACCCAGCGTATGCCGCGATATGTTTCACGTTCCTTTAAGATGTTGTACTTTGAATTATATAGTCATAATCGATAAACATTGACTTTTATAGTCGCTATTTATTATGTCAAAAGTTTGATATATTGCTCTGACACTGCATATTTTCCCCGGTGAACTTAGCCAAATGTAGAGCATATCAGAATTATGTTGATGATGTTACTGCATGGGCAAATCGTCAAATCGTATTGTTTTCATCGTAACTTAGACTGAGAGTTCGTTGTATATTTACAAGTGTGCGTATAATGTGATAGAGAATGCAGTGCAGGGGTCGATGGCGGGTATAAGCGATCTGCGAGGGGGCATCGTTCCCCTCCCTTCCCTGAAATTCAGATTATCATCTCAGGAAAACACTTCAGTACTTAAATGAGTTATATTTAGTACGAGGACAAAATCTTATTACAATCACCAGGGATATATATGCTGTCATATAGGCCTACATCGCTGACACTTACCACAATCTTGATGGTACTAAAGTTTCTCGTATGACAATCGTGCCCCCGCCAGAGGGCAGTCGATCATATCAAAATCACCACGGCTGTTCTTCATACGGCCTCACGTCTACGGTGTATCCAAAGATTAAGCTGGTTGAATATTTCATTGGACACCCCCCCCCCCCCCCCCGGCCCCGAAATTTTTATTCCCAAACAGGTTTGCAATTTCCGTTCTTCTTAATGGCTCATACGTTCTACGTCATTAGCAGCTTGGAAAGAGGTCACAAACAATTAGAATTTGATTTTTTATTGCTTTGCCTCACTATTTATAAAAGGCAAAAAAACTAAATAAACTGAGACTTGAACCCACAACTCTGAGATTGTATTACGCTGACCTTACCGATTGAGCCAACGACGGGTTGATGAAAAGTGATTCTGCATGACTTCTATAACCCTATCACCCACCCTAACGGTTACGTCATTGCTAATGACGTAACATATCAGCCAATCAGATGACCGGAAATATAAGAATTGGCGAACCTGTTTGGGAAAAAAAAAATCAGCCCCCCGGCCCCCCATTCTGGGGACGGAGGGACCGCATGCGTGTTCCCAAAATACCCGGCTCGTAACAAATGAAAAAGATCTACCCGTATTGACTTTATACACCGGACTTATGCTGGGGGGGGGGGGGCGTTGAAGACAGTGGCGGACCAAGGGGGGCCCGGGGGGCCCGGCCCCCCCCCCCCCCTTGAGAAAAAAAATCATGTAAAATCACGTGATTTTTACGCCCCCCCCCCCCTGACGCTCGAGGGGGGGGGTGCAAATTTGTAAATTTTCAAGTTTTACGTTTCATTAAATCATTAGAGAAAGAAGACGATTCGTTGTACCGTTCTCGACTCTTAATCCTTGTCTAAATTCAGTTACCCCACCTCCTGCGCGAAGCGCGAAAGCTTTGACATTTAATTTAATTATTAGAGAAACAAGACGATTCGTTGTACCGTTCTCGAAAATAATCCTCGTCTGAATACAGTTTCCCCACCTCCAGCGCGAAGCGCGAAAGCTTTTACGTTTCATTAAATCATTAGAGAAAAAAAGACGATTCGTTGTACCGTTTTCGACTCGCCTTGTCTGAATTTCAAAATGTTTTTTTGTCTGCTCTCTTTTCTTTATACGTCCTCTTCCATTTCTCTCCTCTCTCTTATTGGCCGGCGTTTTTTTTTTTTGGGGGGGGCCGCCCCCACTGCCCCCCTGGCTACGCGCCTGCGGTCAGATGAACATCTTTTGAATACCTTTTCCGCCCCCGGAAACTCATGGGTTGAAGGCAAATTACGGTCAGATAAGCATTCAGGGGCCGCCTCAGGGCCCCTGGTGGGGTTGAGGGTGCGGAAACCCCTGAATCTCAGGGGTTGAGGGCATTTGATTACGGTCAGATGAACATATTTTTATACGTTATTTGTGACACTGGCAGGACACGAATTGGCGTGAGGTCCAGCGGGCGGAGCCCCCAGAAGCTCAGGGGTTTTAGGCATCACATTACTGTCAGATTAGCATCCAGTGGGGTCCAAGGGGCAGAGCCGCCAGAAGCTCAGGGGTTTAGGCATTTGATTACGGTCAGATGAACATATTTTTATACGTTATTTGTGACACTGGCAGAACACTGATTGGCGTGAGGTCCAGCGGGCAGAGCCCCCAGAAGCTCAGGGGTTTTAGGCATCACATTACTGTCAGATTAGCATCCAGTGGGGTCCAAGGGGCAGAGCCGCCAGAAGCTCAGGGGTTTAGGCATTTGATTACGGTCAGATGAACATATTTTTATACGTTATTTGTGACACTGGCAGAACACTGATTGGCTTGAGGTCCAGCGGGCGGAGCCCCCAGAAGATCAAGGGTTTTAGGCATTAAATTGTGGTCAGAGGAGTATCAAGGGGCCTGCCCAAGGGCCCTTTGTTGGGTCACGGGGGCAGAGCCCCCGGGAGCTCAGGGGTTTTAGGCGTTTAATTACGGTCAGATGAGCAATTTTTGATACCTTATTTTGTTGTGACACTGGTAGTTAACTATTCTTTCTTTCTTGCTCTCTTTCTTTCTATTTCTCTTTAAAATGCTTTTCCAAAAAAAATGGGGGGGGGGGGGGAGCTGGAGGCTCCCGATCCCCGCCGTTCCGCGGGCCCTGACATGTAGGAATCTCAAGAAGCATATTTCTTGCCTGGCTATTGATTTACAAACACATAAAAAAGTATAATTTACTAAAGAATGAGGAAAAATCTCGGAAAATTATGTCATTTAAGCATTTTGTGTAAACCACCGTTATGGAATTAGAAATAAACCACGTTTAAATTTTATTTCCCCCGAGCCCCCTCCCCGAACAATACGCCAGTGCCCCGCTTCCGCCTCCCCCCCCCCCCCCCGCCCGATCTACACTTTGTTGGCGGAAAAATCGCAACTGATCTCCCCTACCTTTCTTATTTCTCTTTTTTTCTTTCCCTTTCTCTCCTCTTTCCCTTTCCCTTCCCTTCGTTCTCTCTCTTTAAGGTTTGATGGGGGGGGGGGGGGGCGAGGGGGAGGCTAGGTCATTTTTTTGCCCCCATCCTTCTTCACACGTTGTTGGCGGGATTAACTGCAAATGATCTATTTCCCCTTCTTTTCACCTTTTTTTTCGGTCCCTTTTAGCTCTCCTTTTTTCCTTTTCCTTCTTTTTCTCTATTTTTCTTAGCGGGGCGGGGGAGGCAAGGGCATTTTGCCCCACCCCCACCCCGATCCACAACTTGTTGGCGGAAAAATTGCAACTGATACCCCCTTCTTTCTATTTCCTTCCTTCTCTCTTACTTTTTTGATTGGGGGAGGGGGAGGCGAGGCTCTTTCGCCCCCCCCCCCCCCCCGATCACTTCCTCCCCTTTTCTTTTTTCTTCCTCTTCTTTCTTTCCCTTTCTCTCTTCTTTCCCTTCTTTTCCTTCTCTCTCTCTCTCTCTCTATCTCTCTTTTTTCCTCCTTTTTTTTCCTTCTTTTTTTTCCTAGGGGGGGGGGGGTGGGCCCCGGGCCCCCCTCGATCCGCCACTGTATATGCGTCCCCAAAGTAACACTGAGTAGGGCCCCCCCCCCTTCCCCCCTCGATGATATGACAAAGACTAATTCTGCGTTCTATGTTTAAAACAATTATGCTCTCCGTCCATATGGCACCAGCCAATTAATGGTTCTTTGTCAATTTTGCTTCGAACTTACCTTTTCGGTTATTTCTTACTTGTGTAATGTCCCTTCCATTCATAAAAAATGTATTAAACAAAATATTCGTGCATGCAGCGGTTTATTCATTGATGTTTGTCTTATATATACCTAGCAAAAATTAATGTATGGTATGATATTCGCATTATGACTACTGAAATACAATTACTCTTAACACGTACATTGAATAATTTTTAATAAAGCACTTAACAAAGAATTGTGCACTAAATGTGATAACATTACAAAAAGGGCCCTTTTGCTTTGTACAACTGTATCACAGTTCGTCTCTCTCTCTCTCTTTCTTTCAAGATTGTATGTCTTCTGTCGAGAGCTGGCGGTAGAGAAATAAACAATGCGTCAGTCACCTGACACCGGTCGGCCGAAGTCTAGTCATGCAGCATACATTCTAGTGCAGAATCACATTACAGGACCGGACGTGTATTTGTACGTGACGAATGAACTTTTTGCCGGTAGCGTTCGAGAAAAGAGTTAGATTAAGATTCCGTTTTAAAGACATAGTTGAGTATTTGTGCAATTCTTTGTTTGAAGTTCTACAAAGTCTATACAAGAGGACCTCCTGAGACAACCAGTTAAATGAATAAAGTTGTTGCATGATAATTTATCCTGAAAAAACGGAGACCGCAACCGAGATTGTTTCTGAACGATCAGCTGAGTGCTTGCCTGGATAGAGGGATTGATTGAACTAGTGCAGAGTTGAGGCAGTGGACGTGGGGTTTTCTCCATTAGTTTCAGGCCAGTGCAAGTGTTGGAATGGTGAGGTCGTAATTCATAACTTTCTTTTTCATTAATTAAAAAACGTAATGAAATTAACTGCCCTTCTCTGGAAATAAGCCGCTGGTCTTTGTGGCGACGGGGTAGTTGTCTAGGGGTGTCCTAGGGTAGGGGGTAGTTGTCCGGGGGGTAGTCATCCTAGGGGCTAGTTGTCCCAGGGGTGGATGTCCAGGGGGTAGGTGTCCGGATACGATATATATTATCGCCCAGCCCTCAACTCGTAGCATGCCAAAATCACTGTTCCGTGCATGCGCTGGCTTGCCACGCTTCAATAATTGGGTTTCTGGTTGCTGGCCATGCACATATAAATTCTCAGTCGCTCGCGTGCCATGTACACATTTTTGTGCATTACCGGTACACCCTAATTGTTTATGCCTATTGTGCAGTGCGCACTGCATGCAAACATGAAAGCTTTTTTTAAAATTTGTGTAGACCGTTTATTGTTGTTTTGATTTTGTGTGTTTCACTAGATCTATACCGTTATACATTGGATTTTCCTGAGAACATTGCAATTTGTCATCATCAAATTTGTCAGTTTTGATCATGGCTCCTCAGCGTAAGAAAGTACGGTACATAGATCCAGATTTTGTACGGGAAATGAGACAATGGATTGGTTTGACAACACACTGATAGTACTTATTTACACCAGCAACGGAAAGAGGGTGAAATTTCCTACAATTTTCATGCACATTTTTTTTATATATAGACTATTGAAGTAAAAACGTGTGGTGAGTAGAATGATGACAGATGAATGATGGCGGAGTTACCACCGTTTTACTTACATGTACGGTGCGGTGAAATGTATGAAATGAAGAAGACAAGACAAGACACAGACTAAACAATAAACTAACCTTATATTAGACGTAAAAGGATACAGACTGGATGCTTGTCTAGATGCTGAACAGGCTTTGACAAGTAGCAGAATCCAGAAGTAGAAGTAAAAGCTCAGCTAATTAATGATGCTCAGCTATAGTATAGATAGTAAAACCTCTATCCGTCGGAGGGTGACGTCAAGAGGGTGGATTCTCGTCTCTAGGCTGGAAGTTGGTTTCCCATGTGTACTCATCAGCTATCAAGATCTCGAATGACCCAGTGCTTAGGAAGTTGGATCATTGCCGCGAGTCGCGCGCCCGTAAACGTAAACAAAATTACGAAATACACACGGCGAACCCAATGCATTCACAAAACAAAATGGCTACCCACGCAACACACGCTGCACACATGCGACACGTGCCACGCCAAATTTGAAAAATCACGGCCACTGCACAGCAATGCAATACACACACAAAAAAATACAAGACGATATGAAATGGAATCGAAAAATACAGCACCGCGCAAATTCGAAGAAAATCGCAGCGCCACTGAAGTAAAAACGTGTGGTGAGTAGAATGATGACAGATGAATGATGGCGGAGTTACCACCGTTTTACTTACGGTGCGGTGAAATGTATGAAATGAAGAAGACAAGACAAGACACAGACTAAACAATAAACTAACCTTATATTAGACGTAAAAGGATACAGACTGGATGCTTGTCTAGATGCTGAACAGGCTTTGACAAGTAGCAGAATCCAGAAGTAGAAGTAAAAGCTCAGCTAATTAATGATGCTCAGCTATAGTATAGATAGTAAAACCTCTATCCGTCGGAGGGTGACGTCAAGAGGGTGGATTCTCGTCTCTAGGCTGGAAGTTGGTTTCCCATGTGTACTCATCAGCTATCAAGATCTCGAATGACCCAGTGCTTAGGAAGTTGGATCATTGCCGCGAGTCGCGCGCCCGTAAACGGACGATAAACGAATACGTAAGCGCATCCAAGATGCATACATATGTATATGTATATGAAATACCTGCGCTCCGGTAAAATGACCTGCGCCTGGTCACACATGTATCTACGCGTTCACGAATATACAATGAGAGCACTGGCATAACAAATGCCATTTTACAACAATATGTACAGTGTACAACATACGGATGAGAAGTTGGATCAAACATAGGAAAGATTTAAACTACACACACTTGAACCAACCCTAAAATAAACAAGGCACTAGGCGTTGTGGCGTGCGCCTGTTATCCAGCTAAAAGTGGAAGTTACAAACTGATTCAGCCGAGGACGCAGGTTCGAAACTGAGTCACGTCTTTCGGATGGTGACGTTTAAAGGTCGGTCCCCAGACGTAAATAATCAGATCTGATTGATACACGTCTGTAAAATAGGGATTAGCACTGTGGCACTCAGTGTATCGCATGAGTTAATAATAATAGGTTGATGGAATCCCACAAAGGCATTACGCAGTGAACTGCTACATGTACAGTTCGAAGTGAGTGATACTATGACTCTGTCTTATGCATGTTGGGCTAGGTAATAATTAGACCGAAAGGTTCAGTCTCTGATATCGACAGTTCTGCTGAAATTATATCTGGACCACTGGTCGCCTCTATACATTGTACATGTACATGAACAGTACACAGAGACGCCAAGTTCGAAGACCAGCAATACGTGACATTTTCATGAATTGGCTCGCAAGTGTGCGGGCGAGGGTATAACACACGTATAAGGTATAGCATTTTTTCGAAATTTAGCGCGCGCGTCGTGCGTGAGAGCATTTACAGACACACAGAATCACACTCAGTCAGTCACACAAACACACACACAAAAAGGGAGACACACTTCCACGCACTTGCAAACTCAGAAAAATGAAAAATACACGCAGCCATTTACCATAGATTTTTCTCACATTGTGTACTCATCATAAAAACACATCTATAGGCAATCACGAATGGATCACAAATGCACATACAAACAAACATATTATTATGGTGTTCATTTGGAGTAAAATACGTATTAAACAAAAACAAATTCTCTTTCAATTTGCATTGTCAAACTATTATTTTTTACTTGCTTCTTAACGATCGTGATGATTATGATGATAATGTTATTAAAAATGTTTATCATCGTTGGTCCTTTGTAGCTTCATTTGTGACCAGCAGGTAACTGTCCGTTCATCTACTCCTCTACATGACCTCCTTCCTTGAAGTTTGCAGGTGGGCTCTGGAATACCCATGATTTGAGGTAACCCCAGACATAAAAATCAATACCGTAGGTGTACAGTCCAGGGATCGAGTTGGCCACTCCACAGGTTCGTTCAGAGCGATCATCCTGTTCCCGAAGAGTTCTCTCAGCCTGGTCATCACAACCCCCTTGTCCTGTGAGCAGGGGCAACATCTTGTGCCTGCCAAAGGCGCCTGAAAGGACCGTTTCTCTGACGCCTAAATCGTGCCATCTGATCCAGAGCCTGATCATCTTTCATTTGTAGATAGCGCTCCTCATTCACTGTCTGTTCAAAGGTGAAGGGTCCAAGAAGACTTCCATTTCCAAGAAGGCCGATCCAAACTGTCACTCTCTGTCGCGAGTCCCTCTTCTCATAGGTAAAGTTGAGGGGCTTGTGCACTCAAGGTTCATACTGCCGAACGTTATGTGTGTTAAGTGAACTGCTCATGCAGAAGCATGCTTCGTCTCCAATGACGATATCCTCAAGGAAGTGCGGTGTCTACCTATCAGCCATTCCGAGAAGGCTCTGTGGCACGCAAGGTCTCGAGGGAAGAGCTCTTGTCTTCTGATCATCTGTAATGGGTAGAGCCTAATCTCGAGTCTGGTGATTCTGTTGAACGAACGCTAGGTTAACATGAGTCCATGTCAACGGGATGATATCCTCTGACCGCCTTGTGTCTGCTGTCAAGATCTCAAACTGCCTCCATGTTTTGTGGTGTCCTAGCTGATCTTCAACTGCCTGAATGTTCTTTGTTGAGGTTGTGTCGATGGGATGATATCCTCTGACTGCCTTGTTGCCTGCTGTAAAGAATCTCAAACTGCCTCAATGTTTTGTGGTGTCCTAGCTGATCTTCAACGGCCTGAATGTCCTTTGTTGAGGTTGTGTCGACGGGATGATATCCTCTGACTGCCTTGTTGCCTGCTGTAAAGAATCTCAAACTGCCTCAATGTTTTGTGGTGTCCTAGCTGATCTTCAACGGCCTGAATGTCCTTTGTTGCGGTTGTGGGGGTTCCCGTTCTGCGGTTCTTATTTATTTTTTTAATTTCCTTTCCAGGAACATAAAGGAGTATAACAGTTAGAGAGAACACATGAAAACGATTTACAATAATAAATACAAAAACAGAAAAAAGCCATCAACTAATGCCTGAGGATTACCAAAAGAAACTGAGTTTCTGTAGGAGGCTCTCCTAATTAGTTGATGGTATAATACTTAACTATACACAATATACATAAATGACATAAGATATATATAATTAAATATGAAAAAGATGCAAAAGATAGATCATGAGATCATAAATATCAGATGATAATGTGTTGTTCAGGTCGTAAGAAGAAGAAAAAAAGCACTCTGGGTGTCAATCTTGTTAAAAGGCGTAATCAATTTGGAAAACGTCGTCGGAAGTGTCTCAAGACCTCTGCCACATTGCCTTGACACCATGCATTTTCTGTCACCAAGAAAGATCACTGTTGCTGGGTAAACTGAGGATACACTAAGTTTGCCATATTCAGTGCTTATGTTTGTTTGATTGATTTTATTTCTGTGTTCAAATAACAAATACAAAGTTATACATTTTTACACAAGTATTACATACATAGCAAATCATGTCTAATAATATTATACAATAACCATAATATAAAGCATACAAAAAAAGTACCAGTGTAACGCATATTTGTATATATTTTTCATTGAACTAAAGAGATAAATATTAGAACGCAGGAGACCGCCATCATGAGCGTCATACATGTATGTGATGCTTGCCACGTCAGACAAGCCTTTGGAGCACAAGCTCCCCCAAAAGGACAAAAGCCTGTTGAAAGCTGCAATTCTGTGGGAATAAAAAGAGGCAAGCATTGATTATTCTCTCTCACTGTCATGTATTGAGACGGTGTATGACTTCATAATTGTTGTGGTTACCTAATCCGACCGCAATCAGAGTTGGGAAGAATTTGCTATAACATTTGTCATGCACATTCAAGCATGTTAAAGGATCTTATAGTGATAATATCCTTGGAGTAAAAATAAAACTAATCAGCTCAGAATCATAGTGACATCACACCAAGTCGTGCAATTGTCTATGAAATCGAAGCCCATTCGGCTTTTATTCTGACTAGAAGAGACACATGATCTGAAAATCTAGTTGTTGGTATTCTTATCATTATTTAGAACCTAAAGTAAATCAGGAAGATGGTGCTTGTTTAGATTTCCATATTCCTGATTGCCACTTCTTCGAAAATCCGATCATAAAGCGTGCGAAGGGCTTTAGACAATAACAGCAGGCAGTGCTATACACATGTACGTGTACCAACGTCTGTTTACTTTATAGGAGATAAGATGCAATGTAAAGTCTCTTGTGCAGGGTTATAATCGATGGGTTAGTCTGTCTATAGCGATACTGATACATGTATGTACACACATTGTATCTCTCACCTGAGCCCAAGGTGAGGTAAGCATTCATTGGAAGAAGGGCCAACAGTTTAGATGGCTTGCACCGGACAAGGAGGATTACATAATCATTTGAAAAGTTAATTGATTAATGAAATACAACATGAGCTTAACTTAACAAATTAATCGCCTTCCATTTGAGTATTAAAGTAGAGTATGTGCTGCTCCTATTTAAAAAAAAAAAAAACTCTTTGAAGATGAATTTATTGAGGTTACATGTACATATGGAAATTTTAATGACTATTTTTACTTTCTATTTATTTGCTTTCAGCATTTACACGATACCATATGCTACCCTATATTTGCATTTTTTATTTATAACAAACAGAAAAAAATTATATTACCATTTACATTGCTGCTACACTGTATAACAGTGTTATTGAGAACAGAGTTAATATTATTTTGTGTGTGTACCATGTACGTTACTACCTTCAATTATTCAATATAGGCAATTTATTCAACTGAAAAAAATATTATGACTAATTATAAATTTCACATCTGGATAATCTCTCTTTCATTTTCTTTTTTTTTTTTTTTTTTTTTCTTGTTGCTTGTCTCTTTCCCCTCTTCCTTCCATGCAGTGGCAAAAGAGAAAGGATAATGTATTTATAGGACACTTTAGGAGTTGGCAAAACAAGTGTCTTCAAAAGATATGTTCATCATTTCTCTTCTGTTTTTTCTTCATTTTTCTTCTTTACCCCTACCTTACAGGCAGCGGCAGGGGAGAAGCGAGAGCATCTCTATAAGGTGTTAGTCATAGGAGACTTAGGAGTCGGCAAAACCAGCGTCATCAAACGATATGTTCATCAGTTCTTCTCACAACACTACCGAGCGACAGTAAGTTCAGGGATTTTTTTTTTTTTTTTAAAGCAACAATACACCAGTCGACCTCCTGCCCCATTAAAAAATTTAAATAGGGTTAAGGAGCCCCTCCCCCCCCCCCCCCCCAATTTGTTTTCTTTAAAGGGCCACCTGACACAACTATTAACCCTATGTCCATTGAATTCTCTTATGTCCATATTCTTAGTATAGGGCTACCTGGTTTATATTGGCGATGGGTTAAAACAAAGGAATGAAAGGTGGACAGAAAATGAAATAGGTCCTGGAAGTCTTGTTGGTGGTGTTATTTTAATTGTTGTCATGTATGTGTCTGGATTTGCAGACTAGTCTTAGTATTTTACACCCCCATATTGAATTTGTATCACATGATTTCTACATCCATATACAGTACATGTACATGTACAGTATGTACACATGTAGAGCAACTAAGGTTAACCACAGCTTTACAAAACTTGTTTGCTACAAAGAAATGGAAGAATATAGCATAAAGGTTTTTTTTAATTGTATGTGAGGGTATGAGGGTTGTTCTGTGGTTTATGCAGGAATTCTATGAAATGTTTCTAAAATTTTACATTTGAGGAAGGAAGCATATTTCTGTCCTGTTTCATTCTTGAATTATTGTGAAATATGAGGGGGGGAGGGGATCCTCCTTGGCATCCTTGGTAAAGAACATTTACAGTGCCCCCCCCCCCCCCATAGGTCCGTAGTCAGCTCAGCGGCACCAAGGGGTATAACGAATGATATAATCCGACCTTTTCTATTTCATAATAGAACATAGTACATCAAATACACCACAACATGAAAATAAAGTCTTGTAACAAGAACAAACAAATCTAGGAGTTATATATTCCTTGAATTGTTTTGTACATGAACTTTGCTTTGCAATCTTTATTCAATCTTCCAATGATTTCTGCATGATCTTTCATGTTTCTGATTGTGTTTTAAACCATTGCATATACAAGCTGGGTGGTCCCTGTATTATAACATATTGGAAATAGAGAGCTCAGTAGCGAATGGGTTAAGAGGGATTTGATATCAAGATGGACTTTCCCCTAAAAGGAATATTATGAGAAATTGATATGCATACAGTACATCAGGCCTGTTTTCATCAGCTCAAGTTTGCCAAATAGCCTCCTATTTCTGATTGGGGAAAGTAGTACCATCACAAAATAGCGGGCTATTTTTTCATCTTGAGCTAGTTTGCACAATTAATAGCCCGCTATTTGTCCGGTGCGTCTTCACCAGCCCAAAGACTCCCACTATGCGCAAACACTGAGGAAATGTCTCGAGCTTATATCTCAAGCTCGAATTTCGAGCTGAAAAAGACACGGTCGGTAATTTCAGGCTAATTTCCTGAATCAGAAATAGCAGGCTATTTGGCAAACTCGAACTGATGAAGACAGGCCTATTGTCACATGTATTCCACTTCCAGATAATGATCTTTATGATTCTTAGAAAAACCTACATCCTTAATTATAGCTGAATTTGGCTCCGAAGGCATTTGTGAAATGTATCAAAATTCGAATAAATGTAGCAGTATATAACACTGCAATATTTACAAGTTCCCCATACAGCCGCATTCTATCACTTAACGATTAAAAAAAGGTTTCATTTATGCATTGGTGTGTTGCTGTGTGCCAGTAAGCCACTGGACTTGAAATTTGATTATATCACAACAAAGCTCAAGTACTTTATAATCTGTATATTGATTTCCTATCTGAGTTCAAGTGTATGTACATGCACAGATTACAGCCTCCATTAGACTAACAATAACACAATGTATCAGTTATTCATTGAGAGATTATAATTCCTGAGTGGCCCTTCCTGAACTGAAGCCAAAGTCCATTGTAGAATTGGGTCTTGTGATGATAACAATTGACCCTGTGGTTCTCTCCTTGGCCGGTTTAAGCTCAATTTTGAAGGCAGAATGAGCGATATGAAACGCTCATCATAATCGCAGTTCCACGGTGTACTGTTTATGCTCACTTCTCTGGCTCCTCCAGGCAATTCTTGTTGGGTGGCCCTAATTGGTCTTGCAGCTGGATTCGCAAACCTGCACTGTGCATGCTACGTAGACCCACTAGAGGTCAGTGCATTGACCCTATTTAAACGCGTTTACAAATTGTAAACGCACCTTTTTGTGAGTTTACGATCAGCGATCGTGATTGCTGTTTTTCGGTGATTCTACAAAAGTGAGAAAGGACGCAACCGTGTTTTAAACTAAACGCGTAAAAGATGCCTGATTCTGGCCAGAAAAAGTCGAGCATAAACACGCCCTTTGGTGTACATGAATGTGTGGGGTCTCATACACAATTCAGGAAATCTATATTATCTCAGTTATAATGTATACAGAGTTCATGCTGATAAGAAATAATATTTTTCTGCTCGAAATTTAATTGGTATTCTTGCACATGTATGCATCATTGGTTTGTACATGTAGTAGGTTTTAATGTGTGGACATGCGTCTCTATCTCTTCCTTAGTCTTAAAGGGATCCGGTAACTTTGTCTTAGATCCTTTAAAAATAATCCTTGATTTAGCTCATGCTGCAATGATAATTATAAACCTTTAGGTCAGTCAGGAACTCCATGACTTTTACAAGCCGATCGCCTGTCTGATTATCAAGATATTAATGATTGGAATTACAAATTTTGAAAACCGTTTGCTGAACGGTTTTCATAACACTACAGTCTATCAGGGAAAACGAGTATGGTAAAACTGGTCGTTCAAAGATTTTTACTTTTTTGAGGCACTTCTTGATCATTTTGCAGTGCGATTTGTTTAGGGCTTCAATGTTACACCATATCACAGACACTGGTAACATGTAGGACCGTGTATCTCAGATTTAACATTGTTAAACGATCCCAGGGAATAATTTTCCTGGTATCGCATCGCAATTTGCTATGCATTTTTGCATGACTGCTATACAAAATATCTTTTGTGTAGCAGTTTTCTTCCATAGAAATGTACAGAATTTCATTTGAAATATTTATCCATCCGCTGAAATCGCTAATCAAAAAATTTGAGGAAAATTATTCCCTGGATCCCTTTAAGAATTGGCAGTGAAGTGTGAGTCCAATAATGTGTGGCCCATTTCGACCGGAACTTCATGTCACTACAAAATCATGGCAAATTCGCTATTAAAAATATAGTGCCACTTATGTTGGCCTGTCTGATTGTAATTGTAGTCCAATAGTCAGAATGCGAATTGCATGTATTATGTGTTGTAAGGTAGGACAAGCCATAATGTTTGTCCTACCTACCTATCAATTAATGTGTGCAATTCGCATCCTGACTATTGAAATAAAATTATTCCTAACAGGGCAATGAAATACTTTACAAGGCACTTTAATACATGTAAGCTTTATGCAATAAACTTGATAACATTACGAAAATGGTCTATTGTATCCACATCTGATAAATGATAATATGTGTGCTTGAATATGATTTGAAGCCGATTCTGCCTATACATGTACTTCAACTAAAAGGCTTATGTACAGCAACGGTCGACACTTAAAGGCACCCAGGACATATAGGCCCCCAAAGTCTACACGTACGTCCGGACCCCCTCCCCCCAAAAAAATCTGAAATGTTTACATAGGGCTCATGTAAACAGACTCTAAAAAGTTAAATCTGCGTACAAGTGACCCAGAATTTCAAATTTAGTATTTGTATCATTTCTCAGATTCTATTAGAACGTCAGTCAGGAAGATCACAGTCATGCACATCTTCATATCCGTAATTTTGCAATTTCTTTGAGAATTCATTCATACCTATAATATAGTTAGATTTCAAATTGTGAAAATGTGAACAGGTTCATGTTACGTACAGCGTGTCCACACACAAAAAATGTTATCCCGAAACTCTATAAAGAAACGTCGTATAAAGAATCATCGTATAAATTTCAGGGCGTCCACACACAAAAAACATAGTATAAATTTCAGGGCATCCACACACAAGAAACATTGTATAAAGAATCATTGTATAAATTCCAGGGCATCCACACACATAAGAAAGTAATCTCAAAACTCTACAGCGAAACGTTGTATACATGTAAGGGCACAGTTTGCTACTGTGGTCATGAAACGGAAGCGGAAATGAGAGGTCAGGTCTCCTTTCGCACGTGGTCCCGTTAAGCCCTGCCCAGTTATACCGTTCTAGTTCGACCATACTTCCACACACAACGCATTCCGTGATTCTTTAACAAGTTCTTGTTCGAAACGATGCCCGAACCTGCGTTTCGTTATAAGATGTTTCTTTATATGACGTATCATTAGTAAGCGTACACACACACAATTTCATCGTACATGCATAACTATCCCAAAACGGTATAACTACAGTATACCGTTTCGGGATAGTTATACGATGACTTAATTGTTGTACATGTATGTGGACACGGGGTATGTCTGCAGATCAAAACATCCAAATTGCATTCTAGAAAATAATGTGTAGATTTGAAAGACATTGAAGACAAAGAATCAAGATATGGAGGCCATATATGCCTAGCTTTCAGCCAGCTGAGTTCAGTGTTACCACAGATAACAACGTGTGTTACCAAAGGTTAATTAATGAATTCATCCTTCGTTGCTGTCTTGTTATGTTGGAATCAAAATGTAAATTGACTTTTGTGTTTCCTGATGATTAGACTTCTCTGTAATTTGGGAATCCCCATGAAACATGGCGTTGTTTACGTTTTATAGTTGTCAATAAGAGCCTGCCCTGAACATATATACATACATTGTGGTAGGCTGGACTTTGAATACAGATCATAAATAGACACAGTAATGATCATTGAACAGTGGTGATGACATACCGGTATTTATCAAGAAATTGTTTTTTCATAGAATCATATCAAAATATGTTTGTTTTACCAAGCGTAACTCAAGGGAACTGTGGGTCAATTTTTAAACTGTAATTTATGATCACTGTGTGGAATAAAATGTGCAGAGTGTGTATAATGTCCATCTACTTGTACGACAATCCGAATAGCTGCATAATGTTGTCAAATAATAGTACCGGTAACTATATGTACTTTTGACAATTCATTTTTAAAAAGCATCCCATTATTAATTTCTTCTCGGCCTACTTACATGTACGTACCTTACCTATTCCATTACCCATGTTTACTCTCCCATTTCTCCATATCTCTTTCTCTTCTTTTTTTTTCCTTCTATTTTTCCTTCTTTTTTTCCTTCTTTTTTTCCTTCTTTTTTTCCTTCTTTTTTTCCTTCTTTTTTCCTCTTCCACTTTCTGTGAGTTCTCATGTCCTCATGACACTCTTTCTATTTTCTCTACTCTTCACCTTTCCCCACTCACTCTCTTTCTTCCTCTTTCTCTCTCTATCTCTCTCTCTCTCTCTCTCTCTCTCTCTCTCTCCCTCTCTCTCTCTCCCCTCCCCCAGTCTGCAAGCAAAGACTCTATTAAAGTTGACACTTTACCTCAATTCCTAAAGCCTTGAGCAGAGCCTAGCTCTATCAGTTTCTGGCTGTGTCAGAGAAGCAACTAAAGTGCTGAGCCTATGCAGGATGTTGTCAGCCTAGTCTCACAGTGCAGACTCTGCTACACTGCAGCAACTGGAATAGGGTCTGTGCATGTAAACTACTGAAACTAGTCTCCTACCCATTTCAGATTTCACTCTTTTTAAAGCCCCACTGCACTACTTATAGCTACTTGCACCCTCTATAGCAAACATTGCCTAAGCGGTGACCGTTGGTCCCCATGACCCCCCTTTTTCTTTAATAACCACCTGCCAGTGACAATGCAGGGAGGTCCAATCCCCCAGGCCAAACTAGTGCAGATAGGCTTTAATATAACGTTTTGTTTTCTGTCCCTTTTACAGATTGGAGTCGACTTTGCCTTAAAAGTGATCAACTGGGACGCAGACACACTCATCAGGTTACAACTATGGGACATAGCAGGTACGTACATCATCAAAGTATTATCTCGAAAATATTTACATGTACATGCAAATGAAAGGAAAACCTTTTAAAAGATAAATTTGAGTTCTGGTCAGGTCATTTCATTGTGAAACTGAAAGAAACTGTCTGGAAGGTATTGGAAAAGGTTGATCATGTAGCACAATAAGCACATACTATGTACATGCTAACATGCAAGTATTTGTGTATAATATGAGGTTTCGGAATCATAAAAAATTAGAAGTTTTGTCCTCGTCTTGCTAAAATTCACACGCAATGTACCCAAAAATCTGTATACATGGGACTACACCAATATATACAACACATATTTCTACTTGAAGGAAACGTCACCATAGCGAATGTCGTATCATTAACAGGACATGTATCTTCCCATATGTTATCTTTTTGGAATTCCCCCACAATTTGTTTCTGTTTTGAAAGTGGAATTGTTGTGGAACTGTAATCACATGATTGAGAGTGTTATGCTTTCATGATCAAAGTTCATATCCAAAAGTGCATGTGTTACAATACTTCGAAGTGCAGTGGGTCATACATGAATGTCAATTACTTGTTTTTTATGTTTACAAGTAGAAAGGAAGTGGTCGCTAGTATTGTAACCACAAATGCATGTGACCTTTATGAGATGAGGACTGGCTTAATGGCTATGATTGTCAAATGGTATCATGTTGTTAGATTATGTATACTTTCCTTACATTATATATTTTCAAGCTGACCCTGTCAAAAAATGAATAAATACATACAGTACATGTATGTGTTTTTCCCCTTGTATCTGGAGTCCAAACCTAAGTTAAAGGGGGTGTAGAAAGGCAAATACTGGTCAAAGCCATCTACGACTTCTTTTGCATAACTGCACGTAAACGAATGGATTTGATTAACAATTCAGCGCACTAGCATTTGCAAAATAAACCAAAGTTCTCCTCAAGCCGCGGTTTTGCGTATGTTGCATGCACGTGAATACTGCGTCGTCCGTATACCCGATTGGCCCCGAGTCAGGCCACGGGAAAGACATGCTACACCCCCTTTAATGCAGTTCTCAAGAAGTATTTCGGGCATTTAAAAGTTAACACTAACATGAAGTTATGTTCATTTTTATTTGTACATCAATTGTTAGGTACATGTGCAACATACTGTAAGTATATGTGCCTCTCGCAAATTGTTGAGGATGGCCATTTTCACGGCAAAAAAACTTTCGCAAACTGATTCAATTGATTCTTGGCATGAATGAAACTTGCGATTCTGAGCCACTCACTAAATTCACAAATATAACGCACAAGTTTCTGGTTTGATAGTACCAACCTTTCCCCAATTGCCTTGGGACAATTTCTTTCTTTAAAGCTTGTTATCAATAACAAATGCTAAATTTCTATGACAAATTGCTCTCAGCCGATCAAATGCCACAATTTCAGTAGCTTATAACAGTTATTGTAACTTGTTATTGCTAACAAGTTATATGAAGCGGGGCACAGCTTAGCACTATATTGTGCAATAGATTGATCAATCATACATTCAATTGATTTCACGACATGTACACATAACTTGCGCAAATTGCTAAAGATGGCCATTTTCAAAGCAAGAAACTTACGCAAATTAAAAAAAATTAAGTTGCAAAAATCTAGTACAATCAATCCATTGATTGTGTATCACGGTCAGTTGCAAAATAGAAATAAATTGGCCATTTTTTAATATAAACAAATTTATGCTATGCCTTTGTGAAGTACCTCGATATAAATTTCATGTATTTCATTCACCTGTTAGAAATATATGTATTTCAGAAGTCAGAATTAAATTTGCATAAATTAGTTGTTGCTAGGTAGGAAGAACATCATGTCTTGTTCTACCTCACAACACATAATAATGTAAATGCAATTTGAAATACAATTATTTATCAAAATTGATTGAAATAATTTGTATCAAGGCACTCAAGTATAAATTTGGTTACATTATGAACATAGTCTGTTGCTAACTTATGCCATTGTTACAGAGTTGAGTACTTAACTTCATATATTTCAATCTTATTTGTTGTTGAACCTGTACAGGTCAAGAGAGATTCGGGAACATGACGAGAGTGTACTACAAAGAAGCTGTGGGTGCTTTCATCGTCTTTGATGTGACTAGAGTCTCGACGTTTGAAGCTGTGGCCAAGTGGAAGCATGATCTGGACTCCAAAGTACAACTCCCCAATGGCACTGCCATCCCTGCTGTTTTATTAGCTAATAAGGTGAGTGGAACTGGGGAAGAAGTCTTGGAACATAGCATGTAGTGGTGGTTATTTCACCTGACTGCTAAGAAAGAAATGCTTGTTAGTAAGCAACCAGAGGACCGATGGCTTTAGGTCCTCTCTGAGGGACCTGGTAATGAGGATTAATGCCTTACCGAAGGGCACTGACGCATCGCCTTGGTTTCGAACACGGGTCACCGGATTACGAGTCCACTGCTCTACCAACTGAGCTGTCGCGCCTCCATACAGGAGGGTTGTCTCCGGGTTGGTTGTCTTGAAGGTCGTGACCCGACATGTGCTCAGACTGTGACATTTGCTCTGTTTCTAGACTCCAAAGTACAACTCCCAAAAGGCAGTGCCATTCCTGCTGTTTTATTAGCTTATAAGGTGAAGGGGTTGGGGAGGAAGTCTAAGAAAATGCAGGAAGGTTTGTCTTCGGGTGGTTGTCTTGAAGGTCGTGACCCGACAATTGCTCCTGTGACATTTGCCCTGTTTCTAGACTCCAAAGTACAACTCCCTATTAAAGGCAGTGCCAGCTTTGCTATTTTATTAGCTAACAAGGTGAGGGGAACTAGAAAAGAAGTCTAAGAATATCCAGGAGGATTTGTCTTCGAGGTGGTTGTCTTGAAAGCTTGACCCAACATTTGCTCAAACTGTGACGCTTACTCTATTTCGTCTAGGATTACTTTAGGTATAGATTTAGGTCTAGGGTTGCTATAGCGTTTTAGGTTAGGGTTAGTGTAGGAAATGGACGTGGAGCAATTGTTTGTGGTGGTGGTGGTTATTTTACCTGACTGCTAAGAAAGCATAATGCTTGTTAGTAAGCAACCAGGCGGCTGATGGCTTTAGGTCCTCTTCGAGGGACCTGGTTGCAGGAGCAAATGACGTTTAACCCCTTTCAGTATGTCCATAAGCCATATGAATTGATTTGATAACACTCCACCATAGAGTGTGCATGTAGTAGTGGTAAGATTTTAGTGTATTAACATTCTACTGTTCATACTGTATGAATCTTGCACTGTACAGGCTGCAAATAAACATGTTTCTAGATGTTACATGAGGTAATTGTCCAGATGGTAATCGAGTAAGGAGTAACAGAGGGCAGCAAAATAAAGGAGGGGGAAGAGGAAACACATAAGTTAACAATTAAAAGAAAGTATACATACAATAGTAGTATAGAGTAGATTAGCTTTCCAAAGAATTATGTATAACTCAAAAGGAGCTCTTGTATAATGTTAAATAAGCAACAGTAAAATTGCTTTAACCTGACCTTGACATGATGCTAGTAAACTAATCTTTGTTATCACTTGCATGCGTCGATTTATAATGATCATTGTTCTTTTTGTTATGATTCATGCCTCGACTAGTGTGACCAAACCAAAGAAGGCCTTGTAAACAACAGCAGCCAGATGGACGAGTACTGCAAAGACAAGGGATTCATCAACTGGTTTGAGACGTCGGCCAAAGACAACATCAACATAGACGAAGCAGCAAGGTTTCTAGTTACAAGTGTAAGTAATATTATCATAATAATACAGTGTCTTATATAAGCCAGTTCACGGTTGCAGTCTGAGCATGAGCAGATAAACGTTATTGCAGACCAAATTGTGTAAAACAAGGAGAAAAAAATACTGGATATGTGCTCATGAAAATTATGTAATCATTATTCATTTATGCACAAGCAGTGCACTCCATGATACACAAGTGGAAGTATTCTTTGAAAAGGTGAAACAAAGGTTATTTATGTACATGTAGCACCTCCATCACTGTAGGAGTGATTATTTCAAAATGTACAAAGTGGGACCTCTTCATGTTTTGAAGATCTGTGGATATTCGGGGTCATTTGGGACATGTGCTAAACGTGAAATGGTCTATCATCAAGCATTTGTGCTCACATTTGCCTGGGAGGGGAAAAGTAAACTGTATTACTGTGATCGTCTGATCTCTCCTTCTGGTATAACTGATTAGGATAGGCATGCATGTGCACCATGACACAGGGGATTCCCCCTGCTCTAATATATAAATAGTTCAGTGGGTCATTCTATTTATGAATCTCTTTACGCATTCACTGCTTTGTGTGTGCTGTACATATACATACCACTAGAAGAAGAAAATGCAGAATAATTCAGCACTGAAAAGCTCCAAAAGAGCTTTTACAGATAAAGAATAATAATCATGATAATAATGATAATGACAATATTAATGATAATAATAATAAGAAGAAGAATAACAATAATAATGATATTAATGGTAATGATAATACTACAAAGACTACGAATAATAATATTTATGATAATGATAATGATAATGATAATGATAACGCTACTTCTTCTTATAATAATTATGAAGATATGAATACTGAAAATAATAATACTACTACTACTAATAGTAAAAATAACAATTACAATAATAAAAACCATTTTAAGATCAATTTTAATGATAATAAGATCAGTTTATATAGTGCAGCTACTGTATAAATATACTCTACTTCGCTTTGATGAAGAAAAAAAAAGAAGCTAGTTTATAGACACACAATCATAAACTATTCAAAAGCTTTTGAAAACAAGTATTTCTTCAACAAAGCTTTGGAGACAGCAATGGATGAGGCTTTTCTTTTGTCAGTGGTAGGTTATTCCAAAGCTATGGAGCATTTCCACTTAACCACCTGGTGTATGTATGCTTTATACACATTTTATACCACCACTTATATTTTGGTTCTCCAACGAATATCATATTTCTGGTTTCGGACTACATGTAGATAAATAGAAACACAACTCCTGCTGTTGTTAATGAATGCTGTTTTAGAAATATGACACCATCATTAAAAGTAATCAAAACTAATAAATCTTTCAGACGAGGTTGTTAATTGAGAAAACGGTAACTGTACCAACGGTACAATTGAAAGTATTTATTCGAACAAAGAAAAAGAGTAGTACCTCAGTCATCATAAAGACATGTAGATAAGGGGGGAGTGGCAATCCCATCACTGTCATGGTTCAAACAGAAAATTGTATACTGTTTTGAAGGGGGAGTGGTAAATATGAGGTTTTATGAGTGCACTCTGGGTTTTTTGTATGGTACAATAATATTTTTAGGAAGAATTTTCATAACAAGATCATATGCTCGCATGATTTAAGTTGTGATATTGTAAGTGACACAACAATTAAGTTGTTAAACTTTGTTTCGATGGGACATAGAATAATAATGAATTTGGATTGCATGAGCAGGTACTGTATAAAGGCATCAAAAATGTATCAATATATTTACATGTATCCTACAGGTACAGTAGTACAGGTGACTTTGTTGAAATTATGTCATCAATGTTTTCATTCATGACTTCTGACCTGTCTCCTCTCTCTCTCTCTCCTGTCCCTCTCATTCTCTCTCTATCTTTCTCTCTCTTTCTCTCTCTATCTTTCTCTCACTCTCTCTCTCTCTCTCTCTCTCTCTCTCTCTCCCTTTCTCTCATTCTCTTTATTTTCCCATTCTCTGTTCCCCCTCCCTCCCTCTCTTTCTCTTTTACTCTTACACTTACACCTTCTCCTATTCCAAATTACTCTCTTTATCTCTCATCGCACAGATCCTAGCCAACGACAAAGCGATACACCATGAAGAGACGGAACAAGACAACGATCCTTTCAAATTGGACGGTGAGAAGCCACCAGCGGAAGAGAAAGGGGCGTGTTGCTGACCCCCTTATCATTACCCCTATCCTTCTTCCAATCTTATACCTATCATTTATCTCTGTGCAGTACAAATTAACATTACTCCACAGCTATTAATGATATCTGTAATAGGCTAATCAGCCATCTTTGGTTGTTATGAGTATGTAACCTTGTGAACGGTTCATATTTAAGGTACACATGAGCAAGTGTTCAAACAAATTTTTAAAAAATTATGTTAGTGAGGTCCATGTTACTTCAACTAGTCCCAAGCTAATTAGAAACAGGCTTTGAATCTGTTGCCCTAACTTTGTGACTTGGGACAATTAAGATTCAACCGATTCTATTTTAAAAACCACCAAATGAAATTGTACATCTACTTAACAAGAAACCTACTAATATGTTCATTAAGCCATCGCTAATTTCATTTCTTAACATCTTTTAAGTATCTTTTTATTATTAAATTAGTTTGTAGTTATAAATATGCTGAGTAAATAATTGTTTAACATATGAAAAAAAAATGGAAGAAAAAATTCTTTCAAGGTCGTGCAGCTGCCATTTTGTACACTTTGAATGTGAACCAATCAGGTTGTGATTATGATCTTCTCAGTTAAGCATCTTTGCCAAGCATTGAAGATTGAAAACTCAGAACTGTTTCTACTATGAATACCATTTTTCTTTTGACTTTCAATGACCATGTAAATGTACCATGGGTGTAATAGGTGATGGAGGGGGCTAATGCAGTCTAACATGCTATTGTGTGTGACCACATGTTATTTAGCAAGCAATCTTGCTTTTATATTGATTGGTGCTTTAAAATTTTCTACCGGTAACTTTTCTTGGTATCCATATCACCCATTCTTTTACTCAACTTCTTTGGAAGATTTTGGATACCGTTTTCAATGGTGGATTCTGTACTGCTGAGACTCCCTCTTGGCGGTGTGTAGATTTAGATGTAGAGGCCTGGATGGGCCTTTGGTAAATATCCCCCCAAAAATTCCCCTCCCCCTCCTACTGATAAATTTTATAGGGAGCCAGTGAGATTTTAGAAATAATGTTCTGTGGGAAAAAATTAGTGTCAAGTAGACACTTTAGTGAGTCCCCCTCCCCCCCCCCCCCCACCACCCCCTCGCTCATGAAAATTCTAGATTTGCCCCTTAATCATGCGGGCTTTATCATGCATCTACATTACTCCATGTGTAACTAAAACTGGTGAGAGATGACGGTCCTACCATTTTTGTTTTCCTTTTTTTAGATTTTCATTATAAGCATGATTGATAAAAATAAAAGGTTATGCAGTGTAGGAGTCAGGCCACATGAATGACGATTGAGTTGGTCTACCGTGAGTGAACACTGCCGTAAAATGCCCTGAAAGATAGAATTTTATGATAATATAGACTTTACAGTGTACCTGAGAAGTTCTTTTCCTCTTCTTTTGTATTATGCAGCTATTAGGGGTTGAGCAAGTCGGTCTAGATCGTGATGCCTTATTCTTGTTTATAGTGCTGAGGTCTGGTTAATTCCAACAACAAAAAAACTTGTGGTTACCAAAACTTTTTGTTACGAATGGACACAAATATTAACTAGAACATGTCAAGAATTAATTTTTTTTCCTGGTGAATATCAAAGTCTGAGATAAAGTAGACCCTCTCCCCTTAGTTATGAGTGTATCACACATAAGGTAGATTTATTGCACCTTTTATGATAGATGCCATAGGTTTTGCTGTTAATCAAAATCAACAGCAGGTGGGGGGGGGGGGGAGTGTTTTGTTGGGGGTGTCGTGGAGGCGTCGTGGTATAGTGGTTCATTTCACTTGACTCTTACTGCAAGGGTTTAGGGTTCTTGTGCCCTTTGTCAAGACAGTAATCCACATTTGCCACTGTCCACCCAGGGACCCATTTCACTAAGCCCTTGTTTTCAGTGACAAATGACAGAAATCAGTGACAAATCTGCTGATAACCAATCAGAAGCAAGGATTTCACTAGCTTATAACAAAAACTGTCATTTTTCCCTGATGACAAGTTTTGTGAAATGGGGCCCAGGTGTTCAGTGGGTATCCGATAGGATACGAAATGCATTGTAGTTTTTCCGGCAATATGAGCGTCTGTATAATGGCCCCCTGGCTGGAATGCTCCCCAGGGAGTGTAGAATGTGCATACATTGTGTGCGGGCAAGCCTGAATCAGCTGACAAGGTTATGATGTATCAGCTAACCTTCGAGACATTGTGGATGTATTCAGCGCTATCTAAACGCAGAATATTATCATTATTATTATCGACAGTGCAAGCTAATAAAGTTAAATGTAATATATTGTTGATTTTATTTTGTACATCTTATATTTTAAGATATCATGATTGATCATGTTAACTCTATGCATTCAAAAGTAATGTTTTTCCATAGATGAGGAAAGCATCTTGTATATCTTACTGTGAAAGAAATCATGAAAAATAACAGGTTTATATTTGATTTTTAACCTGGCGTGATTACATGTGTACAATGTTTGTAGAAAAGAAATGTAAGTATCCATTTCCAACTATTTAATTAAAATATATGCGTTTTTAGGCATCTAATTTTAAGCTATGGATTTTTAAACCCAGAAGTAATTTTGTAATCGATTAAATCCACCATTGAAGATTTTTTTTTTTTTTTTTTTACTTCTTTACTCCATATTATTTGTTAATGGTACATTCCAAGAAGTAAAATTCACCTATCTTTTCTTCTTTTCAACAAATTGTTTATGTTTTTAGTTAGCATTAGACCTTGAAGGGGTCAGAATACTCAGAGTACAGTTCATATATTCAGGGCTGGCCAGAAGAGCATTACCTGTATATCAAAGATTATGAGTTTAATAGCGCCCTCCTGTGTCCAAACAGAGGAGCTACTGATGGGCATGAATACAGTATTAATTATTTATTCATATGTGAGCTATCAATGTGAATTAGTGTTGTATTTAATGAGATCACACTTTGGGTGAAAAGGTTGCTGTGTATAGTTTTTGTTAAAGCATTCCCCCCCCCCCCCCCCTCAATCTCATCCATGCTAGGTCCCTAAAAGCTTATGAGAAATGTTCAAGTGTAAACATGATTAGTTAATTGTTTATAGCAAACAAATAATTGCTTCATTCATCTTTACTGTAATACGGGGTTCATTTTGCAAAGCTCTAAGAAGAAAATGTGAAAATTATCTATAAATAAGAGCTTTTAAGACAAATATATCACCCATATTTAACTTCTATATTCATCTTGACACCCTTAACATAAACATTTTTTATATTTCACCAGAGCCCTATAATATTAACATATCTATGGACTTGTAATACTCCAGCAGTTGCCCAACATGATTTTGAATGGGTTTTTGGATAAAGGAAATAATTATCCTATTCAGCATTTGTATATATTATTCCTTTTCAAGGACTTTACTATCTAATTCTTGGAGAACGTCTTTACATCAGGATCTAACATGATATGTTTTAATATTTAATTTGTATTAAAAATTCCTGTCTTAGTATTGAACACAATTACGTAGACTTTCTAAAAATCAAGCTGAAATGCACATTCAATAATGGACCAGGAACATTAGTGTTAATGATACTTTCTCAAATTTCATTAGATATTCAGATTTGTACAAATTTACATCTCACAAAATATCATTGTAGCACATATTGATACAACAATTGATTTTAGCGGCAATTCACAAATTTTTCATTTTTCAAAAAACCTTAATTAATGTTCAATGATTTGTAATTGTTATTCATAGTCTAGATGTTTTCTTTACTATTGCAGGGACAGTCATGGACCTCTTTTGTCGTAACTTCCTTGGTGGTGTTTTACTCTCATTGCCATTGAAATGAATGTGTGATCATCACCCTTATATTAATTAATGACATATCTTTTTTTTTTTTACTTCGTTCTGCATTATTCCCATTCAATGAGTGATCTAACAATAGACCATTTTCATAATGTAATCAAATTTAATGCACATCCTCAACGCTAAAACGAAGACAGTCCTTTCATTATTACCCTTGGAAACATGTATTTTTTCGGGGGATTTGCGCTCTATGTGTGACGTAAGGGAGGGGGGGGAATGATGATTGAAGAAGAATAAATGCAAAAAAAAACAGGCAGGATCTGGACTAAAATCCCCCTAGGTTTGTTATTCCAAAAAAGGAATAGGGTTCTGTTTCTCTTCCTCTCGTGGAAATATGAACCTTCAGATTAACAAATCTTAGGAAATATGAGCCTTCAGAAAAATGACATGTAACCTTAGGTGTACCTGCTCACTCATGCTTAGCACTACAGAAAAGCACGCAAGTCAATTAATGTTTTAATCGCAAGCCTGTCGAATCCATGATAGGTATTGATTGATACAAGTGTATGTATTTGTTTTGTTTAATTGTGTACTATTACAATTTTTTTAGTCATGTACATGTGCTTGTAGATAACATATCCTGCATCACACGTCATCCACTGAAATTGGATTTGTTCAAATTGTTTTTACTTCGATGAGCAAGAAAATTATTTCTTACAGTTGTACATAATCTATATAAAATAAATCAAGCTATGATAATATCAAAATTATTTGTGTAACTTGTTTTCTTTTCTTTGTGTAGACCACCTCGATTTGCTTATTTATATTTAAGATTTTCAACAGCGAGAAGTATGATACAAATTATGGGGCCCTTTTATCTTCTTCATATATTAATGATATGAATATAATGCATAAAGAGCTAAAGAACAAAAAATGATATAAATTATTCGGAGTACTATTAGTAGTAGCAGTAGCCAGGGTGTCTCTAAAGTGGGTGTGGGGTGCGACACCCCCCCCCCCCCCCCCCCCCCCCCGTCAGGATATTGTTGGTAAAATTGCGCTGCCGTCGTGAAACAAAGAGAGGGAAAGAAAAGGAAAGAGAAAAAAGGGAGAAGAGGAAAGAAAGAAAAGTAGAAAAGGAAAAAAGAGAAGGAAAGAGAGGAGAGTGAGGGGAGGTAGGAGTAAAATAGAGGGGGTTATTGGGTGGAGTCTCGTGGAGGGAGCAAAAAAGACACGAATAAGTATGTTGCTGTGTCGGTATTCTTGCTCGATCCTCGTGTACTATATCAATGCAGAAGGTTAAAGCCAGTGAGACGTATAATGTCGGACGGCCGACAATTTAATTTTCCTATGTACTGTGACCTTCTTATCCGCTGTGACGACTTCGAGTTTTCACTTTCCTATAATATCAGCTAAAGAAATCAGAGGCTTACAATTTTCGGGGAAACTAAATTCAAATAAGGAGTAAGAGTCAAGAACGTTACAACGAATATTCTTTTTATCTAATATTTTAATGAAACGCCAACGGAACGCCAAAGCTTCCGCGCTTCGCGCAGGTGGGGAAACTTCATTTAGACAAGGATTAAGAGTCGCCAACAGTACAACGAATCGTCTTCTTTATTCAATGAAACGTCCAACTACCGCGATTCTAATCCCCGATCAATACGTCCGCGAACATTTCCTATAATTCTCCCTCTTTTACGCGAAATATTTATCCAATATGTAGTAGCGATACCATGTGTTTGACCTGTTCATAATCCCCATATAGCAGTATAGTGGTTTCGCATTTCAAAAATTAATGTAAATTATTAGCTTGGCTTGTGCTAATTTGCACTTGAACGGAAAATTTAATTCAATTTTAGAAAGCAATGGCCAAAATATGCGAGCTCAATTTGGAAACATAAGCCAGCTTATATATCGCCATCTACGATCAGCCTTCTTTTTTTAGACCAATGTTTTTTAGGTCTAAAATTGTTATTTCTTTCCTTTCTTCATCTCGTTACTTTTTCTCCTTTCTACCTATTGTTGACAGAGTCACAATTCCTGTGACTCTTCATTCTTTTTTCTATCGTTTTCTCTGTAAAACGAAATTGATAAATAAACAAATTCAGCTTGTCTGTTAACGAGTCCCGCGGTCGTCGGAGACAAAATTTGAGCAAGATATTAGTTGCAAGCAATGCAACCAGATAGTCGATAATTCACATGTGCCAGGCTCCCCCCCCCCCCTTCCCTCCGCCGTATACTAGTATTCAAATCCCCTGATAAAAAGACGTCTTCCAATTTGTCCTTCAATATGTCCTAAAATTTGCTGACATGCGAAGTTTCCAACCAAGTCCTCGTTTTCTTGTTTTCTTTTCTCATTTGCCATGCAGTTGGTGTAAAAATATCAACTTACCGACAACAATCTAACATTTTCCAACAGTTTTTGTATGGAGGATGCCACGATCTTTCAGGGTTCAGCCCATCAAAAGCTCCATGGCCAGGATTTCTCAAAATTCTTTCTTTCCAGGCTCTTTAAAAGGTTTTTCTGTTAATTGTTTACTGTGACATTACAGAGGTGTTTTTCCTTATTTCAGGAGATATAAAAAGATAAATAGATGGATTCTCTTTTAGGTATAAGGTGTTAAGACGGGGTAACTTGCAAGTCTTAAGGACCGCTATCCATAACGTGGAACTTCCTATACGTGAAGGACCGCTATTCATTAAACGGAAAGGGGGTCGCTATTTTTCACATGAGATGAGGGTTGCTATTCATAATTCCCATTGAGGGTCATTACTCGTAAGGACCGCTATTCATATTACAAAATCGGGATCGCGATTCATAGACATCAAGAAGGGGCGCTTTTCATAATTTAGAAGGACCGCTATTCGTAACGTGAAATGAGGGTCGCTATTCCTAAAAGCGTACGCAAAATACTTGTATTATTAAAAGCGACCCTCTTCTCGTATCATGAATAGGGAACCCTATGAATAACGCCCCCGATTTTGTATTATGAATAAAGGCCTATTATGAATAGCAACCCTCTTCTTCGATTATGAACAGCGATCCTTATGAATAGCAAGCGGACCCCGTTTTGACAAGGGCATGCATACACCCAAGCAGGCGCGTACGCAGGATTTTTTCAAGGGGGGGGGGTTTTAACATTTATAAATCGGTCCGAAAATTTCGCAACGACTCAGCCAGCCGCTGAATAAGCGGGGGGGGGGGGGGGGGGGGGGGGGGGGGGGGGGGGGGGGGGGGGGGGGGGGTAAGAGGACACTTTTTTTTTTTTTTTTTTGGTCTCGAAATTTGGAAATTTGACATTTTGCTCCGTTGGGGGGGGGGTAAGGTCACCTTTTTTAGGTCGGCCATGGGAATAATTTTTTTTTTTTTTTTTTTTTTTAATAATTTAAAAAAAAAAAAAAAAAAAATCCAAAAGGGGGAGGGGGGGGGGGGGGGGGGGGTTTTAGGTTTTTTTAGGGGGTTTACACACAAAAAATTTCCAAAGGGGGGGGGGGTTTAACCCCCCAACCCCCCCCCCCCCCCCCCCCCTGCGTACGCGCCTGCACCCAAGCATTTGCATAGATGACGCATAGCTGTTGTTCACATATTTCCTTGATCCGTAGTTAAGGCCTAAAGCCCCAGTCCCATATAAAGCCGGACCAGCACGGACGAGCACGGACCACTCCGGACCATCCCGGACCATGGTCTGGGGTGATCCGGGATGGTCCGGGATGTTTTGTTCAAAAAAATCGCAACCGCCGACCGTCTCCCCGGACCCAACACGGTACCACTACGGACCGCCCCGGACCGTCCGGGCATAGCCCCGGCAGCAGTACAGATCATTCCAGACCCAGCACGGAGCCGCCACGGACCGTCCCGGACCACCCCGGTGCCAACACGGTGCCAACACGGATGACACCGGACCATCCCGGTGCCAACACGGATCATCCCGGAACGCCCCGGTGCTGGTCCAGGGTGATCCGTGTCGCCACCGTGCTGGGTCCGGGATCATCCGTAGGGGCGCCGGGGTGATCCGGGGTCAATAACTCACTCCCGGACTGCCACGGATCAACACGGACCGCCCCGGCGCCACTACGGATGACCCCGGACCCAGCACGGTGGCTACACGGATCACCCCGGATCAAACTATTGTCCCGGACCGTCCCGGACCACCCCGGCAGTTTTTGACCGTCAAAAACATCCGGGGTCGACTCCCGGACCGCCCAGGACCATCCAGGACCATCCAGGACCACCCCGGTGCCAACACGGTGTCAACACGGACCGAATCCCGGATCACCCCGGATGGGGTCCGGGATGGTCCGGGACGGTCCGGGACGTATATGGGACTGTAGCTTTAGTCTTTGAGTGTCATTGAATTAAGAGAAATTGATAGTATTTCTTTTGATTAAATCATGACCAATAATAGCAGTGTTTCATGAATATTTACATTTTGATAACTTTATGAACTCATATGGGAAAGGAGTATCGCATAGACTATAGAGGGTCTCTTTTGGACCCGCTACAGATTCAAGGGCAGTGTTTCAAGAACCGTCATAAGTACAACAAGTTCACCGAAATCTTATTGAAACGCATGTTAAAAGTGATACGTTGCAATATGATGCCGGCGACCGTACACATGCTATCTTTTTATCGATGTCTTTTAATCGATGTCAGCTAAAGGAAATTTTATTTTGTTCCGAATAATATGAATATATCCACCTCAAGTAATATTTAAGACTGTATCAAGCAATATCTCAGACTGTTTTCAATTCAACTATGATATATCAGATATTAAATCTTCAAGTTCATTTTAATAGATTAAAATTCTATCAAAATATGTCTGTATTTAATAATTCTTAATGTTTTATACTCATTAATGTTACATGTATTCGTCGTGACAGAATTTGCCATTCGGCCCACAAAACCCCGAATATTTTATTTTTTTAATCAATAAACCGTTTTAGATAAATAAATAAATTAAAGGTTTATGATATTTAGCTAAATATAGGTGACAGTGAACATAGCCAGAGTCTATTCAATGAAACATTAACCCTTTTTAATACAGATGGAGCCCATCTGAATAAAAGGGAATTCCGATTTAATAACGAACATCTTGATATAAGTTATAAACGGAAATCTTGGAGCTTGGAATGGTGAAACTTGGTTGTCTTTCAAGATTCCCCTCTAGTTGGGCGTACGTGTTGTTTATAAACTTCATTTCTCCGAAGTGCTTCCGGAATCAGAACTCTCGGATTTCTTTTGTGCATACCTTGTGAATGAACCAAATACATTTTTTAATGACAAGCGTGTCATCTTTATTAATTCCTGTGGCTTTCATTGATTTCCCGGCAGCATATACTTCCCCGGCATAATTCTAAGTTTACCCAAATTTAAAGGGAAAGTACGTATTTTAGATGGGTAATCCAAGTAGACCCGGCAGCCCTCAAGACCGATAAAACATAGACAATTTATAGTAAAATATAAATAAAGAACAATGTTCCAAAAGGTGAAAGAGACCGACATTTTCGCCCTAGTAAGCTATCGGTCTCATTGAATGTCACCTGGGCTGAAGCCATTGAACAAAGTATATGAGGGTGGCAATATCCCAGGGAGGAATGGGCATGTGTGACCCCCCCCCCCCCCCCCCAACAAAAAAATGATGATAATAATAATACAATTTTTTTTTTTTTTAATAACAATAATAATAAAAATAGTAATAATAATAAATTAATAACTAAATATTGATAATACTACTACTACTAATAATAAAATTGCATAAAATAAATTACAGAAAATAATGAGTGAGAAATACATCCCACTTTACAGCCTCCGAAATGCTTCTCAATAATTTAAAGTGCACCGATCCTGAAACGAAAATATTACCGCTCGGGCAGGACACTACACTATTCCTTTGCATATTATTTCAACGATTTAAATATTCTATAAAATAAGAAAAAGACATGGAAATGTTTGCAAGCATACTTTTCCATAAGCTATATAAATTATGTTGACTCTTAGTTGCTTCAGCAAATCATCATATTCAATTAAAGATAATACAAAGTTTTGGGAGATTTTGAAAATTGGGTGGATAATGAATCTTTACAATTTTGATATATTTGGATGCCCCTGTGGATGTATTATAAGCACTAAA